GGGCTATAATTTGTAAAATCTTGCTAAAGGTTCACTACACAATGTTTCATGCAAAGTATCTAACCTCTGGCCTTTGTGAATTTAGAGAAGATGATTTTTTTAAAGTTTTTACTATATACATATATGAAAAACCTATGACCCCGGGGTGGGGCTAATTTTGACACTAGAGGCAAACTTTGAACAACTTTGGTAGAGTACCTATAGATAATAACACATACCAAATATCAAACCTCTAAGCCTTGTACCTTCAGACAAGAAGGTATTTTAAGTTTTTACTATATGTACATATAGTGAAAATCAATGACCCCCGGGGCGGGGCCGATTTGGACCCCAGGGCTATAATTTGAACAATCTTTGTAGAGGTCTACCAGACAATGCCTTATGCAAAATATCTAAGCTCTAGGCCTTATGGGTCTTTACAAGAAGATTTTTTAAATTTATTCTTATAATTCCTTTTGGTTGCCATGGCAACCAGAATTCTGCATGGAATGAAATTCTTTGAACAACTTTGGAAGGCCTTCACCCAAGGATCAATCCAGCCAAGTTTGGTTGAAATTGGACTAGTGGTTTTTCACAAGAAGATTTTTTAAGTTCACTATATAATCTATATAACACACACACACACAAACAAACACACACACACACAGGTGAATCGCTATATGCCACCGCATCGCAGATGCTGCGGTGGCATAAAAATATAGCTTTCAGAATTATGTCACTTGTCTTCTAACAACTGCGCCGTGTCAAGAGAGACATTAGCAGTACAAGATTCACCTTGATAACTTTTAAAATGTTTGAATTAAATGAGCTCCATTACAGATTTTTGCACCACAACAATGACACAGGTCAGCCATCATAATAGACAAGCTTATAAGCTACAACTTCCACTCAACTTGACACAAATGATTTTACTATACCATCAGTTTAGAATTCCTGTACGAAAATGCCTACCCTGACTACACCCTGATTTGACATGGGATAAGACATTTATTTCCAGCCAGTTTGTTTTTTTAAGCTATTCAGTTGACTATAGAGAAGACAGAAATCTATTTTTAGATTTTTTAGTATACAATATATAGTGTTTTCAGGGTGGATTCAACGAAATATTTAAATGAGCCAGAAAAAATACCACCCAGAAATGGAAATCCAGGGCAGAATTTTCACTCACACAGATTTCTAAAAATAGATTTACTTCTAGTTAAATTGAGAGCAATTTCAGGGTGGGATAAATTTGAAATATTTAAATGAGCCATAATTCACCCTGATTTCTGTTTAAAAAGTCAGGCCAGACTTTTTTCCTCCTGTTATTATCCAGCCCTAAAATTTTGCAAATCCCACCCTGAAATTAAAATAAAAATCCACCTAGATTCCTGATCATTTTAGAACCAGCCCAAGAAAATATTCTTAAATAAATTGCATCATATAATGTCAGCATTATGTATTTTAGAATAATAGGTGATAAAACATAGCTCATAACAAACAGACAAATTAATTTGATGAACATTATGCTGAATTGATCATCTTCACAATTCAGTGGTGGCTATTTGCTTATAAATTTTCATCCATAATATTTGACAAAATAATAATTAATTCAGAATTTTGTTTCACTTATCTGTATTTGATTTTCATACAATTAAATACATTTCAAAAATCATTCTTATTTGATATTTCCACTAGATATCTGCCAGCTGTATTACATAATTCCACTGCTACACAATCTGTAAACATATAAAATAAATAAATAAATAAATATATGAAAGCAGTGTAGGAATATGCTATAGACAACTTTCAATTTATAATACATTAATCTATAAGAAAATGTTACACCTCAATATAGAGAAATATGACCATACAGTGTAGTTTTAAAGGTATATTGCATTAATTGCAATTAAAACATCAAAAGAACAAATGATTGATGAAATTATTTAAAGAAGCTCCAGCATTATAGACATATATGTACTGACTTTATGAAATCATTAATACTATGATATTTGCAGGGATGAATACTTTTTGATAATTAAAACTGAAACTAATTTTGATAGAATTAAATGAAGAAAATAAAATTACCAGTGATATTTTTCCATTGTATTCTTTTTGTTCTGCAACTACACCATTTTATTCTTGCTTCATCCTCTTGTCACATGTTACTGAAATATTTGGCTTCAACCTAAATTTTTGGATGTAGAAAAAAAAAACAAAATATGCAATCATGTTATAATTTTTAATTCATTTTAAGACTTCAGTGTTTTTTTTTCTAGAATGGATTATGATCAAAATGTATAGTTTATTTTAGAAAAATTAAGAATGAATTCTAAATTTCCCTCCAATATTTTTAAAACAGGTTTCCTTGAAATTTTATTTAAAAAATCTTTTTCAGAAATACTGGGGCTACAAAATTCATTATTATTGAAATATTAAAAAATATCAAGAAACTGTTAATTTAATTATAACTTACCATTTATCTGTCACGATTGGCTGCTAATTTCCCTCCATTTTTTTTTTTCAAAATGAGTAACGAAGTTTAACACTATTATGCTCCATGTCATATATATGTTTAAGTTTCACAATAAATTTTCCAAGAAATTTCTGTATCTCTAGGGGAAGTTGAATTCTTAAAACTCTCATTTATCTAATATAATTTATCAAAACTCATTTATATATTAATATCTAAGTGTAAGATGATTTATTTTGAATCAAATTCACAACTTAAGCCTCTAATCTTTCTAAAGCAAAAATGACCATGCTGGAAACAATTTTCAGGGTGTGATATTTGCTCTGGATTTTTAAAACTGCTGTCGGTCAATCTGTGCTTAACTTCTCTATTTTCATCTGCCAGATACCCCAGTTTAACATAAAGTATTTTTTGAAATACTGTTTAAAGTTCCACTTGAAGGTTATTTGTTTATATAAACTGAAAGCTGACCTTAGACATTATGAGATTCTGTGCAGATTGTGAGATAGTGGATAAAAACTAAAAATCTTTGAACATAAACTTATTCAGCTGACTAATTTATGCATTAAATAAAAAAATTGTTTGTCATAGGTTAAATATAGATACAAAATCAATTACTAGTAAACAATTATTTATCAAATTTCATAGATAACAATAAATTCATGCTGATTTAAATAATCCACATATTAATTAAAAAAAAAAAATCAGTAAATTGAAAATAATTTTTGTGTTAAATGGAGTTAGTTTACCATAAAGATACTGTCTAGAATAAATATTATAAAACATTTTTTCTGAATTTTTAAAAATTCAATTTTGTCTCAACAGCAATGTTAAACTGTATTATTAGTGTATTGCAATATTTCATTTCTAATAACTCTAAGTCAGAAAAATCAGGCTGGAAATGAAGAACTTTAAAAGAATGTATTGAAACTGGTTCTTGAACATTTTCTAACTTTGAAATATCTGGGTAATTTTGCTTATATTTTTCAAAGTCAGTTAAAATCTGAGTAAAATATTTTCAAAAGTGCAAAATATTCCTGCCTCCACCCTGACTTTTACCAAAATGAAGACGGTGTCAGGGTAGAAAATACTTGAATTCCCATGTGAGATTTATTGAAAATTCAGGGTCCATGTCTATTTCACCCTGATTTTGCCAATTCTGGTTCAAAACAGGCCTGAATCGGTCCTGTTTTTCATAAAAGCCATGCTGATTTTTCGTACAGGATCAAGGCAGTTTACATATCTGAGAAGTCAAACCATACTACATACAGTAAGCTGACTCATACCTTCAAATCCTTTTAACTACCTAGGAATTGTATTCAAATCAAAATCAGGAAAAGATAGTAAGTGCTATAATTATAATCATTTAAGTAGAGAATTGATGTCTACATTCTTAACATTAAACAGAGAACAAAATAAAATTTTCCTCAACATTTGTGGAAGGAAGCAGGAAAATTATGAAATTTTTTCTCCTATTCTAACAAGGATTTTTTTCCCAGAATATTTTAATTGACAGGCATTTTTCTGACACCAATCATTCTTGTAAACTTAAAATTCCTTCATACAAGGAGTTTAAGAAATGTTATTAAACAATCACTTCACTTTTTTATAATTCTATTTTTAGCAACAAAAAAAAATCATGCATTTAACTAAACCTATTTTGTTTTTATAAGATGACAAATTATCAGTAAAATGTTACTCATGTTTAAACTCGTGTGTTAATTTACAAAAAAACTTCAATGAATCTGAATAAACAGCTTCTTAGAATGTGCTACAAGTCACTTAAGTGCATATAGTTCAAGTGTAACTAATTATGATATAAAACTACAACTACTTCAGACACTTAAATCTAACAAGAAAACACTTCATCTTGCAAGAGTTATTTCATAGAAGCAATATTAGCTGCCTAACAAGTCATTGTGTAATGTAAGCAAGTGAAAAGAATAAAGAAACCAAGTGTTTAACATATAAAGCTGTCATGATAAAACTGTTCTCTTATTAGGGTAGAGAATGCGTTAGCCACCGGATACTTATTAGTCTGTCAAGAAACAGTAGTGTTCCGAGGGTCTGGGGGTTCGAGTCCATGTCAGACTGCACACTTTGCTCACTATGATATTTGGAACCCAACAGGAAGGCCATGACTGTAAGAAGCTCAGAGTCAATTCACATTGTTCTCTGATTCCAAAAGAAATTGGAGGACAATAGGGAGTATGTCACAGTCTAGAACTGTCCACTAATCAGGGCACAGAATGTGCAAGCGGCTTGATTGCTCTGTCAGTAGAGGCGTAATAAGGTATTCTGAGAGTTCTGGGTTTGAGTCCTTGTCAGGCTGAAATTTTTCTTTATTGTTGGGAATTTTCAATAATTTTATCAGTTGAGAAAAAACCTATATTTGGCTTTTTTATATACATAAATGCTTTTCTTTCACATGTAAGAGGAATAATTGCTTATTATACTGCATTGTATAAAGACTTAACTTCTTTTGACTTTTCACAGGGTTGAAATGATACCTACTAAGCATAACATAATCATATTTTTTATGCCTTACCAAACAAAGAATCTTCCCCCATATCTTGTCCATGTTTTTGCATATGTTCCCCAAGTACGCCCTCTGGTTGTGGGTACAAAGTGCTTTTTGCCTGCCCTCGTATCTTTTGAAACGAACCCATGGCTGATAACTTAGCCCTTGAAGCTGAAAATAAATGACATGGTAAACATGTTCATCTTCATCTTTGAAATAAATGTTATCAGGTCTGATATAATAAAGATCTTGTTTGTAACCAGAGCTGCATCAGTACTAAGGGTGTAGTACTTAAGTACCAGTACCAGTACTTGGCAAATTATGCAGTACCATTACCAGTACCAGTACTAGATTTTAGCTTGGTACTGCAGTACCAGTACTTTTTTTGGTGAAGTAATTAAGTATCAGTACCATTACTTTTATATATTCATCAAAGTTCGAATAAATACACAGTGTCATACAAATAATTGCAAATATTATTCAACAAAGAAATAAATCCATAATTTATTTTAAAGTTAACATAACATTTTTACAACTTTAATGATTTAACATACATTTTATAAATAATGTTTATAACATATATTAATGTCATATCTTATTGTTTAGTAACCAGTCAACTGTAATACAATGCAATCATCTTTCATTTAAAACACAACAGTCTTTTGTTGCCTTTCACACCTTCACACCTCTGTTCAATTTATACCAAAGTAAATAACAACTTTTTATGGTGCTAACAATATCACTTGAAATAGGATTATTTAGAATAGAAGCAATTAATTAGTGATTATTTTGCTCTTTTACTAGTAAATACAAAGAAATAAAAGATTTTAATAAGGATATTTTAGGGTAAAGAGTTATTGAGTCTGTTTATCTCAATTTAATTTTTACTTGAAGTCTTTGGTGCTTTTTTATGATGAGTACTATGTTAACATTTGAAGGAATATTGCAGCAAATTATCTATAGATTTGATAACTTTCTTTTTCACAAAACTAAAATAATGTAATTTACAGCTTTATTTTATGAGAAAAATTGATGCTATTTTTAGCAAAACCAAAAGTAATGCCTAGTAATGCAGTAGCAGTACCACTTTTTAAGACAGTAATGCAGTACCAGTACCAGTAGTAGCAAAATTTTATAAGAGTAATTCAGTATCAGTACCAGTACTTGCAAAATTGCTGCAGTACGTACTGCAGTACCAGTACCAGTAATGCAGCTCTGTTTGTAACAGCAACTGCTTTAAAACCACTCCCTTCTACTAAGTATTAAACAAATACAGTTATAACATTCAAGTGAGTACAATAGACTTTGAGCTATTGAACAGAGAACTATATGCAAATAATAGAACCCTCTTTGATTTAGTATATGCTAATATAAGGCCCTCTTTGATTTAGTATATGCAAATATAAGGCCCTACTATTCTCCAACTAGAAATGTGTCCATAGGACACGGGTGCCCCCACCGCGCCACTGTTCTGTCAATCTTTTTACTAAGTCAAGGGAAATAACTCTACAAATACTGGATAAATCCACAAGCGAAACCCCAGGTGCAACTCTAAATATGCTGAGCAACCTGCCCATAAGGTTTAATGACTATGTCCAATCCTTTTTGAAGTAACTTGCGACCACAAGTTGAAAATTGCAAAAATTTTCTAAGTGAAGGCAATAACTCTAAAAATACTAAATAAAATCCAGACAAAAATACCTGGTGCACAACTGCACATGCTGAATCAATAATCCTGTAAAGTTACATGACTCTAGTCAAATACTTTTTGGAGTTACGTGCGACACATGTTGAAAATTGCAAGATTTACTAAGTCAAGGGCAATAACTCCAAAAATACTAAAAATATCCACACAAAAATACCCAGGTGCCACAACTACATATGCTTGATCAACATTCCTGTAAAGTTTCATGACTCTAGGTCAAATACTTTTTGAGTTACGTGCAACACAAGTTGAAAATTGCAAAATTTTACTAAGTCAAGGGCAATAACTCCAAAAATACTAAATATATCCACACGAAAATACCCAGGTGCACAACTACACATGCTTATCAACATTCCTGTAAAGTTTCATGACTCTAGGTCAAATACTTTTTGAGTTACATGCGACACAAGTTGAAAATTGCAAAATTTTACTAAGTCAAGGGCAATAACTCTGAAAATACTAAAAATATCCAAACGAAAATACCCAGGTGCACAACAACACATGCTGATCAACATTCCTGTAAAGTTTCATGACTCTAGGTCAAATACTTTTTGAGTTACATCCGACACAAGTTGAAAATTGCAAAATTTTACTAAGTCAAGGGCAATAACTCCAAAAATACTAAAAATATCCACACGAAAATACCCAGGTGCACAACTACACATGCTGATCAACATTCCTGTTAAGTTTCATGACTCTAGGTCAAATACTTTTTGAGTTACATGCGACACAAGTTGAAAATTGCAAAATTTTACTAAGTCAAGGGCAATAACTCTGAAAATACTAAAAATATCCAAACAAAAATACCCAGGTGCACAACTACACATGCTGATCAACATTCCTGTAAAGTTTCATGACTCTAGGTCAAATATTTTTTGAGTTACGTGCGACACAAAAGTGAACGGACGGACGGAAGGACGGACGGAAGGACGGACGGACAGACGGACGGAAGGAAGGACGGACGGACAAGGGTAAATCTAAATGCCCGCCACTAACGTGGGGGCACAAAAAGACATTGAGCTATTGAACAGAGAATTGACCCTCTTTGATTAAGTATATGCAAATGCATTGCCAGGGTGAGCAGGACAACCCTACTATTCTCTGGAAAAACTGGAGATAAAGGAATAGAGAACAACAGAAATTATATTTTACCAGGATTGGGCTGTAAAAATTCATGAGTTTTGGTGATCAGATCCTCGACCATCTTCCCCATCACATCAATTTTCTACAATAAATAATCATAATAATGACATATATATACCTTGTCACTTCAAGTCAATTATACAAAAATATAAATTACTTTTACAGTTACAATGTTGTTTCTCAACCTTTTGGAAAATGAGTGCATAAAATGGGAATCTTCAGTCATGATTATACAAGTAGGCTATTTCTCAGGGTAGGGAAGAGTTAGTCATATTATGTACTGTTTTTTTAACAAAAACACTACTAAGAACATGATATTATTATATTCATTTACTGGCAGACCTGTTTAAAGGAGAAAAACATTATTTTACTTGTTGAATTTCATAATCAACTTGGAATAACAATGTAATTATTATCAATTTGGAGGCTAATATCAAGATAAAAATTGGAAGTTTATTTAACCCAACAAATACTGTAAAGGGCCTGATGTGACAATGGCTGGTCCGGGAAGCATGTTAAAGGTTAGCACGTCAATAATAACCTGCCTTTATTATTATATCAAGCTTTTGTCCTGGCTGAACATTTGTCATATAAGAGCACCAATGGTTAAAGGAACTGTGTCAAGTTGAATTCTAGTTATTGATCAAAGATTTAACTTACAAAAAGATGAAATGACCAAGAACTCTGATATAAAATGTACATTGTAAATAAAAATGTACATGTACCAATTTTTGAAAAACAAAAAGGGGTCTTCAACAACCTTAACTATCAACTTTCCTGCGGTACCCTGTCTAAGTGATGTGGTTCTGTTGTAACTGTTACTGAATGGAAACCAATAAATATCTACTTAAAGATACATAGACACACATCTGTACTATATTCTAACTTTGGCTCTATACAAAAAGAAACTCCCAATAAACACCAATCAGAGACTTTATGTATATGCCACATGCTACTTTTTATACATTTAATCAACTTGAAATTGTACAACCACACTGGTGAAGTTGAATCTTAAAAGTATGATGGCATTTTCGGTAATCTGTGGGGCCCATATATGCATAAGGGCAGTGATTTTTCTCACTTAATTGGGAAGAGGCCTTAGCCTCTTGATTTTGGGAAAAATTATTGCTAAAATTGCTAATTTGGGAAGCAAAAAAGCAGGTTTAAGTTCTGATTTTTGGGAAAACTGCATGATTTTAAAGAAAATTTCAATTGGGAAGAGGCCCTTTTTCGGAGTCTGTTATATAAGCAGGAAAATCACTGAAGGGAGATTGTGTGTAATGATACCACAAATATTAAATTTTATCTATATTAATCAATATGATACATTATAGGATCAAATATTACTACATTAATACCAACGAAATGCTGCCATCCTAAGCAGGTAACTAAAATATTCATAAAAGGTGCAGAATAACCTTTTACCATTTTTAAGCTGAGGGATGGGTGGGGGTTAAGTTTATCCTACAATGGTGCAAACACTTAAAGATCTAAACTCATATGTAAGTTTAAATTTTTGTTACCTTGAAGAATAAGAAAATGTAAAATCAATATCTATGAAAATAGAAAGCTCTTTTCTTATCATTTCTTTTGTTCATTCATATTTAACATCAGTTGAGTACAGAAAATTAAAACCAATTTGATATGAAATTCAACAGCAAAAAATAATTCTCTGCGTATAATAAATGTCTTGTGAGAATCAAAATAATAGTATTTCCGACTATTTTACACCCTTAGTATGTTCTGTTTTGGTGTGAAAAAAATCAACAAATCAGGCACCAGTATGTGTAATAAATAGCCAGTTTGCATGATGTGAGATTCAGATAATAACCTCTCACCTAAATGTTGGAAAAAAAAGATAACTCTTTTCATTGTTTGAAATATTTTCATAATACCTTATTCTTATTTCATATCAAAATAAACATGTACAACTATTGTCATAAATTTTGTATCAAAACAGAAAATAGATTACATCTGTTTACTTTATCATTCTACTCTGATAAAAACTTGTGGTTTCATGTTTGTCATAACAATTGAAAGTATCTACAATCTGTATTATCAAATTTGATGAAATTTTAAGATACAATTTAATCTACTTTCAAGTCTGTAATGATCCAAAATTAATTCTATATATGAATATGATCTGTTCTCTATGGTAGTTAGTGATTGCCAACAAAACAGCCGAGTAAATATATTGTATATAAGTAGGTTGTCCCAATCTGATTATCATCAGCAACATTTATGATTATAATGACACTCCACCACGCTTGACTTGTACTAACTTTAAGTATCTGATGGTCACCTTTAATTGACCTTTCCATCAGTCAATCAGAGCTTCATATTCAAGCCCTTGAAGATTGAACCAATTTGAGCCGCGTCACGACAAAACCAACATAATGGGTTTGCGACCAGCATGGATCCAGACCAGCCTGCGCATCCGCGCAGTCTGATCAGGATCCATGCTGTTCGCTTACAAACCCTATAACAAGTAGAGAAACTGATAGCAAACAGCATGGATCCTGATCAGACTGCGCGGATGCGCAGGCTGGTCTGGATCCATGCTAGTCGCAAACCCATTATGTTGGTTTTGTCGTGACGCGGCTCATTTCATTTTTAACCCAAGGGAAACCAAACTGCTTAGGCCAAGTACAATGATTTTCATAACCAGATAATAAATACAGTTTTTTTTTTCTAATTTCCAGTTTTAACTTATGATGTACAACTTTTGATAATATAATTATATGCTTTTAAGAATTACAATATTGTTTTAAGTTTACTCCATTATACTGTGCTATATGTTCTCGTCTACTCTGACTTTGAAATCAACATTTATAATGTAGGGTTTAAATATCAACTTTGATGATATTTTTCATATTAATGTTACTCTGTTACCTCACCTTGACAACCACTGGCTGTCAGAAAACAATTTCATTGCAAAAGAGAAGGTAAAACTTAATAGTACGTAAAGTAATTAGTATGATCTGAACGTTAGTACATGGAGCTTTAAAAGTCAATAAAGTTAACATGAAAGAACTTAACATTATTTATAGATATATACAGTCATTATTATAATACACCTCAACATAATTACATTGTAGTTTAGCCTTAAAAAAACTTGATCTATTATTTGAACTTGAATGTTCTAAAATTTCACCTTTTTAAACTATAATGAAAAATATATTTCATAATTACAATATTTCTTTCACGAATTTTTTTTTATCTTATTTAGGTGAATCAACTGTCTCAAAAGTTATCTTTATAAAACTTCCCTTAGTCTTAGGCAGAATATCATCCTATGCCATTCATTCGGTTATCACTCAATAGTATAAGGCTAGACAATTTAGACAAGTATACGTAATTAATTATCCTAAACTCAGGTGTCATGCATGTTTGTAAAAGAAGCTGCAATGAGGTCCATCGATCTCATTTAAACCATACAGTAACTGACGTTACACTACCTTTCCCGAGGTAGGCAAAGAGTTACGGAGAAAAACACGATAATATTTTAATAAGATTGTGAGGTCTATAAGGACTCAAAACTGAATTTGGAAAAAACTAGGGCAGTAATTAGTTAATTCAAAATGTTTAAAAAAATGTAGTTTTTTGTTCCCCTCACAGGATTGGCTGAGAAAACCCAAAATATCCTTAATTCCACAGTACCTCTAATGAAGCCATAACAAATCAAGAAATTGGATTTGCAATCATGTTTATTTCAAGGCAATGGAAAGGTACATTGTACTACAGGAGAAAGAATAAAATTTATTTTATGTGTATACATTGTATAATACGAATGAGTCATGGGAAGGAAATTATACACAGAAAAATCAAAATTTGAAAAAAAAAGGGCCCGCACCCGTGAGGCCCCGACTAAACCAAAGGGGCTTTTTTGTTGCCATCCAGTATAATATTTTTAAAACACAATAATAAGGGGACATGTTTTCACTAATTACTTATAAATGTTTACTGAAATTTATCTGGCTAATTATTATGATGAATACTTTATATTATAGAGTAAACACATTACACAGGTAAAAGCTCATCAATCAGCATTAAAACATCTTTATAGCATCCCCATATTGATTGATGTTTGAATGATAAGTTAAATAAATTCCTCTCAAGCTTCTTATTTCAATGGTGTGGTTTTACATACAAATAAGCCGTGACACGATCAGGATCCATGCTGTTTGCTTACAAACCTTATAGCAAGTAGAGAAACTGATAGCGAACAGCATGGATCCTGATCAGACTGTGCGGATGCGCAGGCTGGTCTGGATCCATGCTGGTAGCAAACGCACTATGTTGGTTTTGACGCGGCTCAAATATAGAAATAGTTCTTATTTCAATGTACATATAATATGTGTGGTTTATAACAAATACATAAAACGTCTATGAGCTTTCCAATATTCATTTTTAATATTAAATAGAGAAAAAAATTTAGGCCTTTATTTCTACTTTCTCACTATTAAAAAACATATTTGAATTATTAGGTCAGATGTATAACATAAATAGTTAAAATCAATATCAAAATTTATATGTATTAAACATTTAACCTACTTACTTTATATAATCATTAATTATGATGTATATGTTTCACATAATTTTTTATATGAAAAAAATTAAATCATTATAATTTTATATTTCTTAAACATTTTACCTATTTATTTAATATACATACAATAATATTATTAATCATGTATTACATAATTTTATGCAAGAAAAACGGTACATGAATCATAATATTTGCATACACTCAAGTAGCTACATAATTCTATTTCTTTTCTTTCCAACTTTAAGTTCAATGAATGAAATTACTGGCAATATCACCGATTATGAGTCATGTAACGGCAAAAGGACAGTCTCTTATCAACTGCTACATAGGTAGGAGTATATATGTAACAATGCCACAACACATCTCTGATTATTAGTTTGATCACTATGAAAACAGCAATATATTGTATTTATTGTTATAAGTGTAAACTCTTGACAAAGTGAGACACATGTTTTATCAACCTTTCTCTGATTCTTTTATTCATATGAGAATTCTGTTATTAAAAAAATGTGTGGTCAACCACTCTACACAGGTGTATAATCTGACCAAGCTTAAAATAAATTGTAATATTAATCACTACATTAAAGTAATATCAGACTAATAGCATTTAACACATACAAGGTGTGTGCCTAGCTGTGGCTACCTAATATCAGGGACCTCATGTCTCTTATTAATCATTGATTCATTCTTTAGATGTGTCTAGCATCATATGTCGCAGATTTGTTACTTACCCGTTCCATTTCACAAAATTCATCATCAAGCTCAGTTCCTTTAGCACCACCAATTTTCTCACTCATGAACTGAAAAAAAAGGAGTAAGACTAAGAAAAAGCAAAAACTTATTTAAATCAACAGCTGTATACATACATTATTTACAGAATGTTCATTATCAAGTACTTTCAAACTTGCAAGTTGAATGAGGGAAATGTTGAAAACGAGTATAATTATGTAAAATTCCAAAGCAGAAATAAGTCCAGAGAGACTGAGCTTTGCCAAACAAAGCTTTATCAAGAGTAACTGTCACTCTCCACTTTTGAATTTTCTAAACTGCCCATTATCTACTTCTGTTCATAAAATAATTTGTAGCAAAGGTCACATAGACCTTGAATTTTTGGTTAAAAAAGTGTGGAAGGCAATACTCATCAAAATGCATGCACATTCTTCATTTTCTTAGGACTTTTAAAACAGACTCAGTGTTTGCGTTTACTGCATAAACATATCCAAAATTGCCTGGGATGAGAGAAAGGGCTGTTACATCCCTTGGATAAAACACCTTTTCCTTGTTAAACTCAATACGTTTTTGTTCTGCTTGAAACCAGATTTTCCATATGCTATGAATATATTTTGTAATGCATTTTAAGAACATGACTGTCACCTAATTTTGATTTGTTCCTGTCTCATAATTTTATAAGCAATATTTGCTGCAACACAGATTAATTTCCCGAATGTAAACCAGTATCAAGTGCGCAGTCTCATTAAATATGACCCACCTATGAATGGTCATCACAAACATTGACAGTCTCTATCATCAAAGGTTTAATTTACATTAGAGAGTAGACTGTTGATGGCCATTGTTCAGTAGGAAAAAAGAGGCTATCCCTAGATTTCATTAAATTATAAACTCATCCAAAAATTAGTAGAAAACATTCTCCAATCTCAGCAGGGAGTCAAAAAATTGCCATTTTAATTTTAACAGGATTTTTATTTTGAGAGTGCGTTTTTTACCCGGGCTTTAAATATTATTTCAGAGCACACAACTGTCAAATTATAGGTACATCAGACATATTTGATCTGTTGATAGAGTTATGCAAACATTGACATTTCTGTTATTGAGGACTGTTCCCATCTGAATTGGGATGCAACAGATATGCAGTGCTACTCTCTTAATACTGAATATCTGTGAATATACTTAGTAGAGTATCAGTGATTTTTTTTACTTTTTTTCGCAACAACCCATACCCCTGAAATTGTGAATTTTTAGCACGATAATCTATCCAATTGTGAAAAAATAAACAAGAATAAATCATCACCTGAAGTCACTTTATTCATACATTTAATAATTATGCTAATAGTTTAAGCTTTCTTTTTTTATTCCCTCAAGTATATCAATCAAAATTCTCAAGATTGTCATTTATCAGTATATTATTTTGTTTGGTACTAAATTACTAATAAGCAATCCTGCCAATTGTGAATTTTTTACACATTTTTGTGAATATTTAATGTTTTTTTGGCATTGTGAAGAGGCCTTATTTCAGGGTCAAAAATCACTGAGTATATATGTAAGGCCTTAGAAAATTGTGTTGTGAGGGTAACATGCTCTCAAGGAATAGGTTGCCTGGTAGGGTAGTTCAGATTTTAAGTAGTATCTAAGTAAGGGAACGTTTATAATTTTTAACATACGAAGTTTTTCCACCTTTAACCGTAAAAACTCTGACTGGTAAAATGATAATTATAGAAATTTATGTAATTACCTAAATCTGTTAGAAAACATTATTAAGCTCGGTATTAAAATTTGAAAAGGTCAATTAGTCACTTTTAGTGATGTTGACTAAAAAGATAAAGTTTAAATAATAACATGATAACTATGATAATTTACCATAATTAATTGTATTCGGATATATCTAAATTATCACATCAACGATAAATCATAATAAATAATATGATTTTGATAAATGTCTTCAATGTTATTTCATGTTTTGACAAGTATTTCGTAACTATTAAAACATAAACTAAGGTGTTATTATCAATTTGATTGACTTATCAACTTTTTGTGCCATATTTTGAGGTTAGTTATACGGTTCGTGCGAAATTTTCGACTACAGTGTTTCTGTTTTACCTGGTTAGCTTTGTTCAGCTGCTTTTTAAATCCTGCAAGTGACATTTTTGCTTATTTTGGTAGTGAAATTATTTATTCAAAACGTTTTGACGTTTGTGTTTCAACAGGAAGTACTCCCACTGCAAACGGTGTCTTAGTTAATTAACCCTTTTCCCCAAAGTACTCTCCCTTGATCCGTACATGTAGGCAAAATGACGCTAAAAGTTAAGTGGTATGCGCACGCTTAAGAACAATATTTTTTGTAATATAGAGAAATGTATCTTGCTGACTTCTCGAGAGAATAAAAACAACAACAACAACAACAACAAAAAACACAAATGATCATTCTGTATATAGGATTTTCAAGACGTTTATTGTATTCATAAGAATTTGACATTTTACTGTAAACTTACTTAAGGTAATTTTCAATGTTGGTATATTTTTACTGGTTCTTCAGGATCGTAGATTCCAGCACGATATTGTTGACGCTATAAAACCACTCAAGCCGGTGCTAGGGGACGTTGGAGATATTGCAGACGGACTCAATCAATCCGAATCTGAAATTTTCATATAAATTTGTTGTTTCACTGCCTTCCAGGGATCGTCCTATGGAACTCCATATGATGGTATTGCAATATTTTAGTGAGATTCATATAGATCTACCATTAAAACAAGTTCTTACCTAAAAACCTGTTTTAAAATTTCATATCATTAGGTCACTAAGTTTTTCAAAAATGGTCAATGTCTAAAAATTAAGGAACGCTTTCAACCCCAAATAAGGTTTAGAACACAAGCATATGTGTCTCGCTAAAATGGTCAAATTATCATACAATAATCTCCCGATGATCATCATGAACAAAATTACTATCCAGCACCCATCATTTACTTTATATAATATAGGTCCATTTAATGTTTCCGGAGGTCACTTTATATATGCTATGAGGTACCATCTTATTAGAACATAAAGATAAAAGTTTAATGAGAGGATGGATATCACATTGTTAAAACAACAAAAGTTATGAAAGATGTTGGTTGACATTCCCCACGGTGACGCGGTAAGTTTTAGAGGTCCGAAAAAATGTAACAGTGGCTCGCTTAATTGGTCCCTAACCTATGTCAGTTAGTAACTTCTACAACAGAGAATCTCTTTAGTATTTCTGTAATATTCTTTAAAACATAACCAGACTTACGCCTTTTTCGGGAAGTGTCCACTTGTGTTTCAGGGGGTGACATGAAAAAAGTTCAATCGGCGAAGGTGCTGCTTTCCATTTCATTAAAATTACATCTGATCAGTAGTCGTTGCTTTGGTCGAACCGCTGACTTGCTGGTGGCAATGGCCGCTGAGTTGAAAACAGATTCAATGACGGACTTTGACGTCAAAATGTACAAAAAATAATAATTTCATAAAATCATTATGTTCTTTATTTTATAAGAGATTGAGAAGTAATTCTGTCTAAATATGTGTTTCCGGAGCATGTACCTACGTATAACAACCATACTGCAAATGACTGACAAATATTCCTGAAAATAATTTGAAAAGGGAATTGGAAACAAAGGGCAATAGATACCGTAATGGAAAAACTGTCGATCTACGCAGAATTCAAACTTATTTTTCATTTGTTCATTCGTATAGACCTACCGCGATGCGCACTGACGCATATACGATCAATAGAAACTACGTAAAACAGAATGCACTTGAAAAAAGACGATTTTTTGAGAAGAGTAAAGACTAAGACGGTTGAGAAATGAAATATATAATTTATTCAAAAGATTTGTTAATATATCTGTATACGTGCTACTGTAAGATTCGCTTCAAGAATACTTCGAAATTTTGATTGGTTTGCTTCTTAATTAATAACCATAACACCTCACACTCAAAATACATGTACATACATATAACACATGCTTTAAATGTACAGTCATGAAAAACTGCTCCGGTTTTTCACGCGAACAATTGTCCACGGTGGAATCGTGTTGACTGAAGTTTACAGAAAATAACAAAAACAACATCAATAAATAAATAAATAAAATGAACGACAATTTTTTATATCCCACTTTGAATATTTTTTCTAGAACAAGCGTAAACACAAAATGCCACTCATTAGGATTAATAAATGAATCAAAATAAATAAAATCAGAAAAAATCACAATCAAAAATATCTTTACAGTTTAAGAGAAAGTGAAAAATATTTACAATATTTAAATAGAAACTATGAATGTTAAATGTAAAACATCCGCTATTGTAGAGGTCTGCCTGTTTGGAACCTGACATCGTATTAACATATAATATATATATATTAAGATGACATAAACTTGGAGGTATATGTATTATTTTTTAAAATATTGCACGAGCTGCTGACTATAATGTATTTTGGTAAAATTTAAACATGACAGAATAACTTTTAGATAGATAATTTAAGAAAGATATAAGCAATATACTATCATTTTAGACGATCACTTATAACGAAATGTCTTTCTTATGCACCGAATGAACTTTCTTTATTAAAGGTCACTTAGTGCTTTAAAATAAAATAAGCTTATGCATTATATACTGAAATTTGTGTTCTTTGAAACAATATTGACCTATTAACCTTTTTTCGATACGTTCTGTCCGATGTTAAACCGTTTGAAATCATTGTCCAAATAAAAATACAAGGTTAATTCCCAGTGTAACCTCCGTTAAAACCGCCAAGTTACCTCGGTCAGCTGTAACCTACGTAACATTACGTTACCGTATTTAATTGTATAATGTAGCGTTACCGCAGATCAAATAGCAATATTCGGGCTACTTTTCTCCGTCTTATTTTAAAGCGAGTTAATAAACACTGCGTGGTGGTCATTAAAAATATCAGAACTGGATAAAACTCCGCTAAATAAAGTATTACAGTTTACAAATATATTAATTATAAAACATACAGAGTAACGGACTTTATTTATTTATTTTTTTCAAAATTCACTAAAAAGTCTATTTTCTGTCTTTTTTTTATTTAAAGAAAGACTGATATCGTTTTAAAAATATTGTTATAGGAAAATGTAACTTTATGTTAATACTGAAACCATCGTCACTTTTATGACGTATGTTTTGATAGCTTCATAAGACAATAATTTGACTTTATTGATAAGACAGGATACATCAGTTTAATCTGTCAAAACAAAACGATAAAAATCTCTGATCTAAAATTTGTTTTCAAATATAGAACAAACGGCACGGGTCATTGTTGTAGGGTTTTTCCCGTTCTCCAGTTAATTTGCACATACAAGATATTTAAGGTAAGTCAGTTTAAATAGTTTTTATCTTTTTTTTTAAATTTATCTATTTTTGTCATTATTATTATTATTTTGCAATTCTAATTTTCTTCTACTTAATTTGATTCCTCTTACTGAAATAGATTTATTCTTTGAAATTTAATTAAAGATAATTGTCTGTTACAAGTAAAAAAGGAATATCTAAACAATTTAATACTGTCTAATTTAGGCACAAGAAGATGAGAAATATTTTCATATAGGTAGCTATTAAGCTTTTGTTTCTATCAAATTGAAACATTCAAATCGAAACCTAAAACTTAGAAAAACTTACATTTAAACTTTTAAGAAACAGTAATAAAAAATATTGAAATTTGACAAGGTACAAACGTCGAATATAAGTTTATTTTTTTGTGTGGCAAATTACATGTTCATTTGAATGGCAGTCTTATAAAGCTAAGCTAACACATATTTTATATAAGCAAATATTTTATATTTAGGTTTCATTAGACAACTTTTTACATTATAACTAGTTACGCCAATAAGATTCTCTTGTCCGCTCGCCCAATACCCACATCTTACTTAAATTTTAGTTTGGTTTAACTTAAATACTAAACCAAAAATGCGCTATATTTTGAATATGTGTTGGTATCTAAAACTCTTAGAATTTTGCTTTGAACTTATTCATAGCTAGATGGACAACATATTAAGTAAATATATTGTTAACATGACACTAAAAACCGAGAGAGAAGCATTGATAAAATATAATGAGTTAAAGATGTTGTACGATGTTGAATGCATGTTTTATACGAATGTTTCAACCATTTCGATCCTTTAGAATAGCATGCATGCTTCCAGATTCATGCTAATTTTCATGAAAATTGTGAACATGACTTTATGAAAAATAAAATAATGTGAAGTGAAATAATGAAGAAAGTATTTTCACATTGCAATCGACACTTACAATCCGCGTAAATTACAAAATGTACAGAAAATACCTTACTGCATACATGCGCGGATAAATACTGCAAAATCAGTCATTATCTGCACAAAAATGTAAATTTTTACTTCAAGCTTGAATCTTCTCACTGTTCTTCAAATCTTAGTACATGTACATGTTTCTAATGCTAAATTTTTTTGAAATGTTTCGGCTCATTAAGAGGCAAGCAGCTTTAAACACGGATTTATATTACAATTGTAAAATAAATCCTTACTTTAAATAAGAATGCAGGCTTTAAATTCATCAAAGAGTATGTTGTATACCACATATAGTCTCTAGCTATAATACTTAACGAAGTACATGTTCAGTTTTGCTATTTTCTCAAAGGTTTCTAATATTGCGCAAACGCAGTCACTATAAAATTACAAACAAAATGTTTCTGTGACATCTAACACCGTCTCAATTGGTTTTCTATTGTTTTCCTTAAATTGTTGCAAATTACTATTGCCCGAAGATAAGGTCAGCTATGTCTAAATTCCAGTCATTAAGATAAAATAGATAAGCCAGCGTCTTATTACGATAAGGGTCCGTGCCGTCAAAACAATGTCGTAATAACATGCTATCGTAACGATAACAATCTCACTATTCTATCAGGGCATATTGTTCTTTTAACAAGCTTTTCGCGCGATATGACTGTGTATTGAAACGGATAAATGTAATGATAGCCCAATTGGCCAGAAACAATGTTAATCTTGTAACATGTGTAACGTTGAAAACGAATATCACTTTAAATGGTCTGTTCTAAGTAATATTCGTTATATTTAAAGCGCTTTAATTATTTTCTACGGTATACACTGAACTAATTATGTGCTCTCATATCAATGAAATTGCCAGAACGAGGATAGAATAAAATAGCAACATACATTTAGACTATTTAGAAAACAAAAAGAATGTCTAATGTCTAAACAATCAATTTATAATTTTAGTTCGTTACTCATCGATTTGTGTATTTTTTCTCCTTTCTTACAAAAAGTTCTACTATGCTATTGCAAGGTTATAAGTTACCATTCCAGACGTATAATTTCAAAATAAATTCATGGTTAAGGATAACAATTCAATTTTATTATTGTGCATCATTAATTGAGTCATTCTGAATATGTGTTGCCCGCTGTAGTTCAGAAATTCAGGAAAAGAATGTAGGTTTTTCTTTTCTTCCAAAAACTGAACAGCGCTTGAAACACAATGAAAGAGTATCATATATTTATCCCTCAAATACAACAGGGTTAATTGTCATAAACAGTTGATACAATACCTTGACTTTGCAAACACACAAATGTGTTGTTTGAGAAGCAACAGAAAATATACTTAGGTAATAGGTTACCCTGTTCAAATATGCTATATAAATAAAAGTGTTATATTGAAACTATTGTATGTTTACAATTAGAAATTGCATTTAAAGTAAATGATATCAAAGTAGTATGAATGTGATAGGAATATTATTTCAACATTTTTTTCATAACTCGTAATATTCTATGATGTTAGTTGACTGAACCAGAAGACAAGAAGAAATATGAACGAACGAATGAATGAATTAATAAAAAAAATGAATTTGAAAGAATGAATAAATAAATAAATATTACACACAAAATGAAGTGAAGTTTTCGGATTTTTACCAAGATTAAAGAATTTAACCGTGAAGTATTCTCGTCTGCAGTGAGAACAACTTATACAGCAACAAATTTTGAGAGTATTCGCATTGGCTTACCAAACGACAGGGGAAATTCAGGCCTATTATACAAGATCAAGGCATTGAGACGTCAACTCTCGTCGACTTATTGCCATGGTGATGAAAAACAATAAATTGCAACTAATTTGTTGTATTCTAACATCTCTACAACACGTGTTTGTTCTGGTAAGTTATGCACGAGGTAAGCTTTATGTTTCAAACTAAGTTAACTTACCATACGATAATTATGCAAATGTAAAGTACAAAAACGTTTACCAAATATTTTACTAATATATCTAGTAATAATAAAAGATTTCTACAAAGCATTTTTAAAAGTCTAGAACCTTTGACTCAGTATTGTCTGAATACTGTGCACAGTGTGTGCCAAACGAATTCAAAATGTGACCCATCCCTTATAATGTTCTCTAAAAAGGATGTAAGTATTTATATATATTAAATTCTATAGTAATCATTGTATTCATCGTAATGATATGACATTAATTTATAGCATGTAATGATATAAAGCAGTTTATACTCTTTGCTTTTTTAATGTACAAAAATCACAATGAATAAAGAAGTTCATTAACAATATTAGCTTTTATATATTTTTGCTGCAAAATATTTCAAATTCGAAATATACGTCGAAAGATTCGATTCAGCAATTCGAATTCCATTTTTAATTTCTAACCTTAGAAATTTTATGCTTTTTTTTCAAATGGCTATATAGTATTTTAAATTGTACCGTTTTTGAAAAGACCGTTTGTTTATAAACGCTTTAGAGTGAAGGTCCCCCATTAGAAGGCAATGGATGGCCTAAAAGATTGTCATTAGTAATGCATCATGGGATTGTGGATTTGAGACAATGGCAGGAAGAACTAGTTACTGTAGAAAACCAAACTGAGGCTCTTGCTCCAGAGTTAAACACACCTCCTGATGACGTAAAATCGAAAATAACTTATCATGTAACGGTGAAATTCAAAAAAATAAATTTGGGATCTTTCTTATGCATTATAGTGCCATTTATCACATTTTTTTATAGAAATTCTAAAATACGGAATTATATTTTGCTGATTATTGCTGGGTCACTTTAACTGGTGTTAAATTAAAAGAAAAAATTTCAAAATGCATAAAAATGAAAAAAAATAAATATAGAGAAAAAATCATTGGGGAAGCTTACCTTACCAAAGGAACTCAATGAGTTAAAAAGCATATAAAACAACTTGGGATTTTTTTTTACATATATCATGTAATCAGAAGCCCTTTTAAGATTTTTTAAGAATTTTTTTTGAAAAGAATTGCAATGTAGTTTGCACTTCGGGGTAAATTTGAAACATTTTTCTTTTGGGCCCTTTTTTCATTATTAGAGTAATTATTCGGAAAAAGGGATGACGAGTGATCAAAAATTTTTACAAAATTTTTGGGTCAAGACTAATGACTAAATTGGGAATTAAACTGAAAAATTTTTTAAAGTCCCTCACCTAAAAAAACCCTTTTAACCGCTAAAGATGAAACTTTTACCACCAGAAAAAAATGGGCCAGCACGCACACAGTCAGTCTGAAAAATTTTATATACAAAAAAAAGAGGAATATTTTTACTTTATGGGGGGATAAAAAAAACATGAGTGAAAAAGCCGCCCCACTTCGTAATGTATGGGTGTCCGTTACTAAATCCCCTTTAACTTTTTTGAGTTTTAAATCAACACAGTGCAAATCTTTTTTCACAAAACAAGTATGCACATCGTTTTGGGTTTCAGAAAAAGCAATTTTTTTTTCTTTCAGAAAACCAAAAAGTCAAAGCTGAATAAAAGATTTGTAAAGACCCAAAAAATTATGGGCCAAGTCTGTATACCTTTGTTTTATGACTCATTTTTACGGAAAATCAAAGTCTATAAGTTAAATAACCAAAGTTACTGTTAAAAAAAATTCGAAATAAAAAAACTTTTTTTTCTTTTTAAATAAAATTTTGATTTGGGGAAAAAAAATTTTATTTTCCAAAAAATTTCCTCAAAATAAATTACATCTCTATAATTTATTTTTGATAAAAAAAATTCTGAGAAAAACTAAAATCAGATCTTTTTGGGTTTAGAAATACAATCCCAACGATTTCAAATTATTTCCAAATAATTTCTGAAAGCGACACCACTCAATGTTTAATTCAGCACAATAAAAAAATTTTCGAACCCCCATTTTAATATGCTACATTGATATCAAGTTTGTTTCATTTCCAAACACCTTACATTTTATAAACTATGAAAAAAGAATAAAATTTTCGACATAACACGTTCATTTCAGCTGAAGCAACCCGCAAGCACATAAAAGAGGAAATCTTTGGACTTTATGAGTATTGGACCCACTTCCGGTTTGTGCCATGGAACAACAGTGCTGAACATTATGATCTTGGCCACTCAAACTACCTGATATTTGTGGAATACAACACGGCGTTAGTACTTTAAGTCATTGCTCTTCATTTTTGTTTTCTCAACGATTTATATAACGGACAAAAACAATCTATTTCTATTCTCCCACACGATTCATTTACAAGAAAAAGAACTTTAAGACAACAAACACAATACATGTATATACATATCCGTCGATCATAGGATTGACGATGGAAACTATTTGTTATGAGTTTAAACTATATGAAACCAGTTTAAATTATAATGCTAGTTATATTATAATCTTATTTAACTTGTTGAATTTCAAGAAATTTAAGAACATGTTGAAATAAACAGCTTTCGTTGTTAGAAATTCTAAAATTAAGAAGTCAAATGAATGCGATACTGGCAAGAATGCACATCCGTGAAAACAAAGCCTTTTCTCAACACTTAATTAGTGTTTTCACCCGAATACGCTAGATATTCATAGTACAATTTATTAGTATATACTAATTATCTCCAAAATAGAAAATACCATTACTATGTTCTGTACGGCAATATTACAGGTGTTGGTCATACTCCGGTAATAACGTCGTTCTAAAAGGACAGAAAATTTCCTGCTGCAAATATGTAAGTTTTTTATATTTTAGGTAAAAAAATGTATTAAACCAAATGAGCCGCGTCATGACAAAACCAACATAGTGCATTTGCGACCAGCATGGATCCAGACCAGCCTGCGCATCCGCGCAGTCTGATCAGGATCCATGCTGTTGACGCTTACAAACCCTATCACAAGTAGAGAAACTGATAGCGAACAGCATGGATCCTGATCAGACTGCGCGGATGCGCAGGCTGGTCTGGATCCATGCTTGTCGCAAACGCACTATGTTGGTTTTGTCATGACGAGGCTCAAATATATTCAGGCTAATACAGAGGGGAAGTAACATTGTTGCCGTAATGAAACAAATACCGTAACGGCGTTGGCTGCGTTGATACGATGGTATCAAACGGAAAACCAAAATTTCGAAGATTTCGTAGATCGTATTTGCTTAAGCATAAAAACGCAGCTTTCGAACGTATTGGTGTAGCTTTTCGAATTCCAATTATATTGAAATTGACCTAGGCATGAACATTGTTTTACACAGAGATTGTAACCGTTAATTTGAAATAAATGATAAACATTTCCATATTAATAGTCGTTTTGTTTAATTTTAACCCTTTCTAAAATCTGGACAAAGCGTGATCCTTTGGAAGCATTAATCACAACAAAATTACATGAAAATTGCAGACTCGGTTTGATTGAGTCTGTATACCAGGGATTATGAAAAAGTGCAACATTCCTCACGTCCCCCAGCCCCGTCTTAAGCGGTACTCAATTTTCAAGTTACTAATTTTATAGTATCAAAAGGCAAAGAACTAGACCTCGTTCATTTAAAACCAACAAATGTATCACGAATATGTTAGGCTGCCAACATCACGAACATATCAAGAATAACCTACAGCAATCTCTATGAACAGCCTGAAACAAGGTAACTTGTGATAATGTTAAGACTATCAACATTGTTAATGTGTTAAGGTAGATAAATACCTTTCTTTGAAGAAAAATACTGTATATACATGTATGGTTATGCAGCTGTGTTTTTTTCCACACCAGGATCGCTGCATTCATGAACTCGGACATGCGATTGGCTTCATACATGAGATTTCTAACCCATTGCGCGATGATTATATTCGAGTCAACTATCAAAACATTATGGATGGTAAAATAGTCACGTTATTTATTACATCGATAAAAACAACATATCCGAACTATCTAAAATTTGTTTGATCTTTTATTTTTACTGGACGTTCTCCTAGAAACCGTTACTATAAAGTAACATTTCAGCTTAAAACAAAGTACGACCTAAAACCTCAGTCTGTCCGATTAGATTTAGATTAATACAAATAATATACGTATTTAATAATATTATTATTCATTGGCTGTGAGCTCTATTTACAAACAATTATGTAAATATTCATATTATTCTTTATTAATGTTCTTGCACAATGAGGTGAAAAGCTATTTTTTATCTCTTATTTTATGCACGTTTTAAAATTTGTCTCATTTTTCAATTTTCAAATAATTATCATGTGTGCACAACAGGTAATATTCAACATTTTCGAACGACAAACGTAATGCTGTCTGCATGTAGATATAAGTTAAATTAAACTATTGACTCTCATTTCCAGGGATGGAGCCAAACTTTGAGAAAATAACAAAAGAAAAAGGTGTCCGTAATTTCGGATATTACGACATGAGCTCAGTGATGGGATACAACACATGGGTATGTTGATTATAGTTTCTTTTTATTGAATCATGTAGTAAACTCCGGTGCTTGTAATATAACATGAACTTGACATTCAAATTAGCATAGATAAAATGCTTTGAAATACAATGCTAACTCCACTCCTTCTCCAATGTGCTGTGTTAGAAATCAACGAAAAAACCGGCCAAATGGAATGATCAGAAATCTACACCCAAGTTATTGGATCAGACCTGCATCAAATGTTACAAAAATCTTCCAGTACATGAAAAAAAAAAATCCCCAGTGGTGTCCCTTTAACTGCTCCAACTGCTCGAAAGTTTAATAGACCTTTTAACCCGAGAACCGGATGTAGTATTTCGCTCATACGCATTCTGCGTAGAGCAAAAACAACAAAAACAACAAACAACCCGAAAGAAAACAATTTGATGCAATCTTAAAGATTAACCATAAGTTTAAAAGTTTATTTTGATAAATAACCGGTAAATGTGAATTAAGGTTTTCTAGTGGCATTATTAAAACTCAAAAAGTTTTAGATATAAAAGAATTGAGTTATTATGACCATGTTAGTTACAGGTTATACCATTAACAAAGTTACTAGAGTTGTGAAAATCATATAGATCATTTAAATGGAGTGAGAACAGCAGCGAAGATAAATTTTCCCCTTGTCTAACGCCTATATTGCACATAAGAAGTCATATTTCATATCATTTACAGAAACGCACGACCAAAAGGCCATTTAATCATTTTCATCAATCTTTGGAACTAATTTTTTGAAGTGACAAATAGTGTGGTCTGTATTAATATGTGTCACGATAAATAGGATAAAATGTGTGCTATTTCACTACCCATCTGTATGAAATGTTCTTAATCTTCTCAAGATTTTGGTAAATTATTTAAACATATGAGCCGCGTCACGACAAAACCAACATAATGGGTTTGCGACCAGCATGGATCCAGACCAGCCTGCGCATCCGCGCAGTCTTACCAGGATCCATGCTGTTCGCTATCAGTTTCTCTACTTGTAATAGAGTTTGTAAGCGAACAGCATGGATCCTGATCAGACTGCGCGGATGCGCAGACTGGTCTGGATCCCTGCTGGTCGCAAACCCATTACGTTGGTTTTGTCATGACACGGCTCATATTATGAATTTTCTGTTTGGCATTGCAGCCATATCGGATAAAGGATAAAATCAGGTAAAATGAAACCTATAAACATGTTCACGAACATGCATTATCACGTATTTTGACCTTTTTCAGAATGATAATTAACCTCGATTTCATATGTTATAAAAATCTCTTTAGTTTTTATATGAACGTTTCCAACAACAATCAAGTTGACCTATTTTCTTGCTAATTTCCACACTTTTTTTACAGCAATTATCTCAATATCAAGGGAAAACATCTTTTCAATGTCTTTGTATGGAAATTTTGGCCACAAAGCTATAAGGAAACATTTTGCGTTTCTTAAATTAAAAGCTATTTTATATAATTTTATGCGATGCTCTTTTGTCGTACGCACATTGCCCATGCTCCCAAATTTTTTTTATTTCCTGTCGATTTTTCTTATCTTAACGGACCGCGTCGTTAAAAGGTCTAAAAAGGCTTTTTAAGCTTTGATATCACAACATTTGCACTTCATTCTTTATTTCAGGCATTTAGCAAGAATATGAAGGACACAATAACTGTTTTAGACCCAGAGATCCAGTATTTAGTGCAACAGAAAGATGTCACAGTCTTCTATATGTTTTACGAGGCACAACAGTTATATAACATGAAAGGTACATGAAGCAGGACATTCCAAATAAAAAAGTAAAAATCAGAATTTAAAAGATTTCAGAACACGAAAAAATGATGAAAGTCGTTTACATTGGTGGTAGTGGGTAGGCAAGGCATAGTGCGCTCCCAACCCCACCACATCACCGCCTTTAAAATTAGCAGAATTCAACATGATTCACTTTCTGAAAAGAAATAAAGTTATATTGAATTGTGATGTTATAAAAGTACATAAGAATTAGATATTTATATCAATGATGTCCTTGATAATAGATGCTATAAAATAGTAATGATTTTCGTCTCTAACAGTTACGGTATTATTTATTTCGTTTGGTTGACTAGTCTTGTTTTTATTATTGTTCATAGACTCCGATAAGAAATATATAAAATGGAATATATGAAATTTACCGAAATCTCGTAGTATATATTGATAACGTTTTACCATATATTTACTTTATTTTTTTCCAGCGGATAAATGTCCAGACTTTAGTTTCACGTGCGACAATGGAGGTTACCTGTCTTATGTTAACGGAACATGTAGATGTCGCTGTCCAGACGGTTTAGATTACAAAACAAACTGTGCCGAACTTGGTAATATATCACATATACATGCTTTCAAATATGTGCCGAACTTGATAATATATCACATATACATGTTTTCAAATATGTGCCGAACTTGGTAATATATCACATATACATGTTTTTAAATATGTGCCGAACTTGGTAATATATCACATATACATGTTTTTAAATATGTGCCGAACTTGTTAATATATCAAATATATACATTTTTTCAATATGTGCCGAACTTGGTAATATATCACGTATACATGTTTTCAAACATGTGCCGAACTTAGTAATAATTTACATATGCATGTTTTCAAACATGTGCCGAACTTAGTAATAATTCACATACAGTATATCGGGTAAAAGTTTTCAAATGTGTGCCAAACTTGGTAATATATCACATATGCGTGTTTTCAAACATATGTCGAACTTAAAGATATTGTCTGAACCATTACCCTGCTGAAACCGAAGGGAATTATGAACCAGTACAGATCCAGGCCAGTCTGCGTGTTCGTATTTTTAGGTTCTTGACTGTTGGCAGATTAAAATCTATTTACTGAAATTTCTTAAACCTTGAATAGACTTAATCATATTCAAAGCTCTCAAATTCAGGAGGTTATAGGTTAAAGTAATTACACTTCGTATGTTAAATATGATAATGATAATTATTATAAATCAGTACATCTAAATTAGGTATAAAAACATGAGTACGAGTGTCTGACTTGTACCTTAACATACATTTATTATGTTTTCTTGTCGTAAATTTAATCACAAATTGGTAAATGAACACAATACATATTTAATTATATTATAATTTAGTATTTTGTTTCTAGAAAATGGCCTCACCGGAAGTGTTATATACCTCTCAGACTCTAATAGTCGTATTAACATAACGTCACCAGGATACCCGGATGTTTACAGAGGAACGTCTGCTTCATTTTGGTTCATTAAGGTATTCTCAAAATTTCTATAATTTGCCAATGACCGATTCAAAAGTAGTACATAATAACAAATAGATGAAGAATGATTATTTTTTAAGTTTATCAAAATTTTTTAATTGTAATCATTTGTGTGATGAATGAATCAAAATTGATATATTGTTTGAAAAACCATTAGAAAACTAATGTACTAACATCGCCATTACTTGTGCATCAAATGAATATAAATTTATATTGTTTTTGTAAACGAATCTATCAAAATTGATATTGTTTGTGTAACCAGTTCATCATAATTGTCATTATTTGTGCAATTAATGAATCAAAATTGATATAGTTTGTGTAACAAATGAATTTTAATATTTCTTTTAATGTAACAAATGAATGAAAAACGGATATTATATTTATATCGTATGGATGCAATTTGACATTATTTTTTTGTAATTAACGTAATGAAGAGTAAAGTGATACAACAAATATTCACGTACTTAAAATGCTGAAAATTACACAATATTGTTGTATTAGGAAAAAAACCCTCAAAATTGTAAACTGGTATTTTCAGGGTCCAGCTAAAAGCAGGATTGCATTAGATTTTGATCATTTTGATATACCATACAGCACGTCATGTTCAACATATGTCGAGATACGATTTGTAATGCCAGGACAACCGGGTGTAAGGTGTGTTTATAAAATATCAGATTCCTTTTGAAATTAACTCAAAGATAAAAGTATTGTATACAGATCGATCAGGGAAACAAAAACCTTGTTTTTAATCATTATTTCTAAAATTTGACACTATTTTCCTTTTATGCGGGTACTTAAAAGACTATTTCTTTATGTAGAGAAATTTATTGAAAGTTAGAAAATGAATTTATACATTCCTTCAGTTTTGAATCATACATAATTTTATGTATTTAATTATTACATACTTTTAATTGATTTATTGCTGATTCTTTAAGTGATTTTTCATATTTATAATTTTTGTTCTTTCATAAGAAAACAAATATTGTGATATGTTTCTGAAATATGAATCAATAGTTGCTTTCATTTGCCTGACTGTCTACTTATTTTAAACCATGATAATTTGCATATGGAGTGTAAGCCCTTTTCATTTATACCATTTTCCAGAATAGTTCTACATTTAGTCGATATTGATGAATAGATATTTATCAATTTAAAATATATGTGCACTGTTTCATTGCTCTTCTGTTAATCCGTCATTATACTTAATTACCACTACATTTATGATGTAAGAATTGTATCTTTGTCCAGTATAAAAATGATATTCATCCTCAATCACATCTTTCTATGCTGCATAACAATCATGCGATATTTCTTCTAATTATAGATACTGCGGCGATAAATTTAGTAGAACAATAGTCAGTCACGAAGAATTCATATCTATTACCCTGGTCGGCAGTAATGATGGGAGTCACGGTAAATTTGCTGCCAGATTACGCCTTATAAAAGGTTTGTTTCTCTATATTCATTGTGAATGCATATTGTCATGTCAATATCTAGGCATTAGTGTTTTTTGATGAATTTTGTTATCATGTTTTACTCAAAATTTACTGCGAATAGTACGGATGGGTGATTACAAGTCTACATGAATTACGTTTATGAAGTATTTCTTTGATGATATGAAATACAAGTATAACATTATAAGTTTAAAGTAGATGGCATAAGGTTCAAACAACGTTCATGCAATGTTTTTGAAACTATAATTGCTTATATCTCGTTTGAAGTTTGATTAAATATACATTTGCATCATTAAGGGTTCATGACATCATGTATCAATGAGCGTTGTGATACGAATTATGTTTTGAACTTTGTACATATTATTCTTTTTTGAAATTAAAACACATATGTAGTTATAAGCTTTACAAATGTTTTACACAGATGACGATTTATGTTATTCGGACAGCGGTAAAGATGCTAGTTATCAGGGGAAAGTGAATTATGCACGTAATTTTGAAACTTGCATTCCCTGGGATAGGGTGACTAACTGTACATTCAATACATTTAAGTAAGTAAATCGTGTAAATGTTCTCTATATGGAAAAATAAAGGGACATGAGAAGGGCTGTTATACCTTACGATAATACAATTCGCTACTTGTTTTCTTACAATAACAAAACATTTATATTTCAATGCACAAGGTTTGTTTAATAAATTCATGGAATCTGTTGATCACTTCTGTGAGCTTAAGATCTCAGGATATAGAATAAATACCGTCAGTTATTGAAGAATATGATTATTATGAGTTTTTTCGCCGAGTGTTTGTCTATTTACGGCATAAATGATGTATGTGACAGGCCTATCCATGGCTTAATTCTAAGCATATTCAAAATGAGTTATACTCAAAAAATGTGACAACAATATGATATAGACAAACATCATCTATATTTATTAAATGTTAACGGTATTATTCCGATATTCAAAACTATGATATGACGACATATTTATTTATTTAAGAACGAAACATCGGACAAAAACTGAACAATCTTTTTTCTTTACCACTTTCATCAATTTTAATTTTACATTTGGTAATAATTATTTCTACTTTATTTGATTTATTTTGATATGTGTTTTGACCTTTATTCTTTATTTTTCTATCTTATTTAAAGTTTTTTTTTGTTTTTAAGTGTTACATGGATGGATTTGGAGGGAAATTACTGTAGAAATCCTGGTCACGGCACCGAACCTTGGTGTTATATAAACGCGGACACATGTGCAAGGTCTTACTGTGACGTCTGCCATTTACGTAAGATGAACTATGTCACTTTAATGTCATAATTTTAACTAGACGATTTAATATACTTCCAAATAATTTTCTGTAATTTTTCATCTATCTATAAACATAAAACGATGTGACCTGATAGTTTAAAGTTTGCGTTCCTTCTTGTTCAGTACATTATGTTTCGTATTTATCAAAGGGCTGGCTTAACTATTCCTGCTTTCAAATAAACAAGGAGCTTCTTTAGCTAAGAGAGGGGCATTATGATATCAAATTGAAACACTTTATTGGATCTGTGTGTTTTATATTTATTAGACATACTCCTGTTTTATATCCTTATCTTTGACAGGGAATTGTTATGATATCTTTGACGATTGTAAGATACAGCTAGAGAACGACCAGCGGTTCTGTTCCAATGACCCGGAGGCCACGAGAGGATGTAGAGCGTCGTGTGGACTGTGTAATGTCACAGAGGAGGTCCCAGCAGGTTTGTTTCATTAATATTATTCATTGTTTGAATATTTCTGTACACATTTGCATAACTGATTAAAGTTCAGATCTACTTTTTCTTACATTTAAGAGCTGATTTTAATCAAATTGATCAAAAACCTGCTGTTGTTTATTTGATTTTGATTGGATGGAATGAAGACAAAATCCATTGAAACAATAGAATGAAGTATGGCAATCAAGAGTAAAGTGTACTCGTGTTAGTGTTCATATTGGTCTTTTAGTTTCATTGCTTTCGGAAGATACCAGTTTTTCAGTATATATAAAATGATGTTCCATCGGATCATCGAAATTAGAGATACCGACTTATTCGGTAATAATATACACGAGAGACAATGTTTCTCAATTTTCAATTATTTTGTTTTGACTTCTCTCGATTGACTTCAACTTAAATCGGACTATATATCTCCTTCGAGTAGTTTACAAAACCATTGTTTGGATATTGAAAAAGAATAATTTAAAAATAACTTTATGAAAGAAATAATGCATGTTTATATATATTTGCTAAAGAGCGAATGACACATGCACGAAATTATTGCTACACAGTTAAAACTCGACTTAAAATAGCAACATAATTTTATACCGTACATTTTATTTTACATAAACAATATTCAAGAGAAACATTCTATATAAAAAGTATTATAGCCATAATAGTATGACAACAACTTAATTTTACTGTTTTTAAATTTTACAAAAACATTTCATTAGATATAGATGATTGTTATACCCTTTAATATTTGTTTCATACCTGTAGTTTCGAATGTGACATGCCCATCCCCGGACAAGACTGTGACAGACGGAGTGCTTGTATCCAACAAAACCGTCTTCAGAGCTGGGGATAAAGCGATTTATAAGTGCAACAAAGCGGACGGTACCGGAAAGGGTGAAAGAACATGCACTGCACAGGGTTCTTGGACCTACCTGGGCTATGTATGCGATGGTACGTTTTCAATGAATACCCATTTTAAAATTCAATTAACGTAAAATTGAATGCCATTAAAATGTTTATTGAACTGTATTTTACATATTTCTTCGAATATATATTTGAAATTATGAGTTTCTGCATCTTATAAGCATGCTGTCATTTCGTGCATTATTCAATTTGCATCTTAGTTTAAACAACTAATTTTTAGCAAATAATTATGTTATCCATGACATTATGTTTTTAATTTAACTTATAGATAATCCAACTTGTACGGATCAACGTCTAGATTGCGGAAATCTTCTGGAGCGGACACCAACTTTGTGCATACAGTACAGTAAATTTGCTGGTCTAAAGTGCAAAAGGACATGTGGCATTTGCTCAAACATTCCAAAAGGTCAGGTTAAATCTAAAAAAAAAATTGTTTGCATTGAATTGCGACATTACTAAAGTAAGCAAGTTATTGCAATATACATATAGCTCGTATATATCCGTACCAGTATGTATTTCTTCATTAATGACAAAGGACCATGTAATGCTTCAGTTAAATAAAATATAATTTCTTCTTTGGTCTATTTTTTGTGTGACGGCAGTATATATGTATATGACTGACAACAATATGTATTTTGCCGACAAAACAATTTGCTTGAATGACGATACAATATATTACGTACATCCGGAGTGAAATCTCAATATTTTTTGTTTTAAACGACAACATATATTTGGTTTGCATCAAACGACAAATGATTGGCGTCAAAGAATATTTGGATAACGACAGAATATTGTTTTTAGCCCGAGCAAATGCCTTGTAAGTCGTAAGCAGCACGCCTCCAGATTCATACTTACACATTATCAATGACATTTACAACCGACGTAAATTACTAAAAAGAAGACAAAATGTGAAAAATAGCCCTTACTGCGTTAGTAACGCAGTAGAAATTTAGTTATAAATACTGAAACATTAGTCATTAATCGCACTTAACATGTAAACTATTACTTGAATCTTCAATATTTTTACTTTTCCTAAAATCTTAGTTCATTTTTCTTAAGTTTGATTCTATTTAAATAGTTTCGCTCATCTTGAGGCATGCAGCTTTAAGTGTTATTTGAAATGTTTATATGTAGATATGGGTAGTTGACGGTTTTCTGTTTGTTTTAGAGCGATGTAATGTTGAAGCTGTTATTGGTAATGTGACTGAAACTAGTACAGGGCCGTATAACGTCGGGGATGTCGTGAAATACTCATGTAACAAACAATATATTTATTCTTCTGGATCTCTGACAAGAGCATGTATGATCAATGCAACGTTATCTGGAGAAATGCCAGGATGTTCAGGTACTACCGTAATATCATAACAAAGGGTTCCGATTATTTTGCAATATACCGCAATTAAGACACTTTTGGTTAAAACACTTTGACGTATTCATTTTTATTGTTTTTGTTTCATTTTTCATTAATGACTGTTTATAATATAACACATTTTTTAGCAAGGGATACTTTTGAACTGGTCAAATTTGACATTACGTAAGGGTGTCATGACCACAAGCATTATTCCAAAATGTCAAATAGTTTCCCAGGAATGATTTTGTAGGATTCGCAAGACTGTTCGTATTACTTTGTTCATATTTGAGCCGCTTTTCGACAAAACCAACATAATAGGTTTGCGACCAGCATGGATCTAGACTTAGGATCCATGCTGTTCGCTTGCAAACTCTATAACAAGTAGAGAAACTGATAGCGAACAGCATGGATCCTGATCAGACTGCGCGGATGCGCAGGCTGATCTGGATCCATGCTGGTCGCAAACCCATTATATTGGTTTTGTCGTGACGCGGCTCATTTATATGTAAATATATGAAAATAATCACAATTATTGTTTGTGATAATGTCATATCGATGAAGAATGTCGTAACCACTAGACTGCTCGCGGCAACAGGTTCTAACCAGAACAAGGTCAGCTGGTCATAATAACGTCGTCTGCTCGTGGTCAGCAATGCATGCTATTAAGCCAGTAAATGTGGTAAAAGTTTCCCTTGAAATGATGATTTTTTTCCCAAATCGAAAGATGAAAACTCCATTTAAGATATTTAACATGATAATTGTTAATATCTTACGTTAGAGGAGGAAATATGACTTCGTATCGGGCCTGATCCTTTTTCATCATTGTATGTAATATTTTACAGCTATTGAAGATGTCGTCACTAGTCTAAATTCTGTCAATCTTAGGCGAAGGAAACGATGGACGAAGGGCAACGAAGTGTACACTCTCAGGTACCCATTTAAGTGAAATTATCTTACTATATATTTATTGAAATGTAATTGGGCCACGCAAAAGAATGCATTGTCAATATGTTAGAAATATCCTGAACATGTATTGGCCGATTGTCAGACACTACCATTACCAAGATTTTAAAATTCTGCGTTTGGACATTGCGTTATCATTTGCCCTGCTGTTAACACGTGGCTGTCCTTTAAAAAGTTTTATTAAAATTTCACAGTAAACAATATTCACAATATTCATATTGTGAGTAAATGCAGACTATATATAGGCCATGCTACCTTTAATTGAACAAATACTTGAATTATAGATGTATAATATAATTTTGATTTAACGTTAACGTTAACGTTAAGTTTCAAATATCCTTTTGGACTAGAATTAAACAAGCATTGTGTTGACTAATGCGTTTCACGTTTTCTCCCGTTTTAAAGAATATGACTATTTTCTTGCTTAATGGAATGACTTTATTAACACGTGATATTTTCCTCGGTATATGAGGTTTTTGTTTAGTTCCGCACTTTGTTTTCTCGTTTAGGGCACTTGCTTTCTTTTACTTGTGGACCTTACACCGCTTTTCATGGCACGAAAGTGTTACATTGAAAGTTCCATGTTAATCACTGTATAAACACATCTGTGGATGTTTCTAAATTCAAAATTTTATCATTTTATATGTTTAAAAGTTGATTTGTGCTTAAGCCGGTGCTAGGGGGCGTGGACGGTAACTTGTACCATGTACAGGCTCAATCAAACCGAGCGGCTTCAACATTTTCAATTTTGTTGTTGGGGCGCTCTTAAGTGATTTGTTGATTGACCAAACATCTTGAAAATGATATCTAACACATAAATATATCTATATTTCGTCTTTAAAAGCAAGTTAATACATTTCATTAACAGCAATCCATACCATAGAATAAAAAGAAAAGGGGAGATTATTGCTTGGCAGTTTTACAGTTTGTTTTCCGGAAGAGTTACGTTTCATGTTTGGAGACAGGCAGGTGATACAAACAGGTATAATTTAATTTTTCTTTACGTTGACAAAATGTCAAAATATATATTGTTAAAAAAAATGAACAAGTTGTATAATATATTAGTAACGCCAAGAACATAACATTCATTTGTCTATGTAGGTCCCTGTTGTTTTTTTATCCCGATTTTATTAATCTTTTTTGATGGATTTTATATAACAATACAACACAAAGTGTATTCAGAATAATTCGCCAATTTCCGCATCTGTTAAATGACCAGGAAAAAAATCAGTTCCAGTAAAAATTATGTAAGTTTGTCGAAATTAAACGAGCTATTTCTTTGGGCAAAACCTGAAGTTATAACCCATAAATTGATTAAAAGTGAATACTGAACTGAAATTGTAAATAAATAAATCATACACAACTTTGGGTCCTGAAACTGTATTCTATTTATCTTAATTACTTCACAAACAGCAAAAAAATCATTTTGATGTACTTGAACACTGCAAAAGATTTCTTTCTCTTTTTAGTATCTAAATAAATGCATGTTATTGTTTTGTAAATTAACATTTTGTTTGCTTTAACTCAGTTACAAGCTTTTAGGAAGTAATGAAATAGCCGCCACGTTAGAAGATAGGCTTGTGACAGTGAATGTTTCCCTTGACCAGAGAATATCTGTTCGACCAGGGGATTTCATTGGTAAGCAAATGTAAATGGTTGATAAACGACTATAGGGAATATCATTTGTAAGCTAAGACAGTTTGGGATTCTTCCAGGATTGAAGATTTAATAATTATTTCAGAAATTCCTCGGTATTTCATTAAGTAAATAAGATTTTGAAATTACTGGTACCAACAAGTAGATTAAGTAAGTTTAGATATAACATGATATGTCGAAGGATTTATTTAATGAAACTCGGCTTTTATATTTTCACTGAGACTACATGACTTCAATAAAATAGTTTTATCGAGGGTGAAAATAATGAAAATAATAAATGTTTAAATTTCAAAACATTTCCACAGTTATCGTATCTTTTCATTAATAGGGTTATACGTGCCGTCTATCAATCCTGGTGGAATTGTGTATGACAGCTGTAAAACAGAGTTTGAACCGGAGGGGGGTAACCAGTTAGTTCCGATAGGCATAGCGCCTTGGAGAGTCGGACAATTCTACAAAATGAAACAAACTTCAACATGTAAACTGTTCTCTGTCAGTGCTAAAATTGGACCGATTCGAACGATTGACATCAATTTATTAAAACAAGAATGGCGCAAATTTCTGCTTTTCCACAAATGAAACTTTGTTCATGACTGGGTACAATACATAATTATAGGGTGCTTTTGCATTACTGGTTGGAAACAAGAGAACGCAATGTATTAGAACTTTAACTAAACTGTGTTGGATTTAGCCTGTACAGTAAATCATTGTTATGTACAGATCTGCATGCTTGCCTTTTACAGTGATATATAGATAGGTAGATCTGAATTATATTTGTTCTTAGACAAATAGAAACACTTTTAAATGTTAAATTTTCAAAGAGGATATGAAAAAAGACAGTTCTTTTAGATGTTCAGCAGACCAAAGCAGGATAGTAAGGTGTAGATACAAATTTATGTTACATAAGTAGTACGTTCATTTTATTATATTTTTAATATTGTTTTGTAATTTTAAATTGCACTGAGAACAACTATAAATGAGTGTACAACAATCTTCATTTTCAAAACTGGACATCATCTAGAACTATTTTGTTCCGATAACAAAGGTACAAAAATTCTTAATAGAATTAGATGTTTTATGTCTGAGATAAATCTCGAGGGAATTTATTTACAATATTTGTAATATTTACATCTAACATTGTATTTCAAGGCTTTAGGTTTTAGAGTCTTTAATCTTTATACAATTTATATGATATTTTATTTTCTTAATATGTTTATAATTTTAGTATTGCTTTTTTCATGTATTGTTTTAATGAAGTATTTCTTAAGATTGTTCGATATTAAGTGTGCTTTTATGTATCTTAAAGGAAAAAATATCATGGTTAGTTTATGATAAACATGTGATTATAATGATATGATATAAAAAGTTATCAAAATACATTGTAACATTTGTGTAACAGCATCAACCTCGTGCAGGCTCAGTTACCCAGTGTCAAAGAATGAGCAGCAAAAGTGGAACATGTATAATAGTAACCATGTGTGTTATTTTCACTGAAGATACATCATATTTAAAATATTTGTACGAATAAAATGTTATTATAAATACGACTAAAGAATTGTTGTTTTATTTTGATGAAACAGATTTAAAATGTTTTGTCAGTAAAAGTTAAATTAGAGGCATAGTTTTACTTTACGGAAATGGTTTCCTGATCTTTTGAAAGAGATTTACATTGCTTGCTTAATTAATGTATTTCAATTTTAAAGTGATTTTCATTTTCCTTTTTTGGTCCTCGAACAAGGATTTTAACCGATGAAGCATAAACACGACAAACAAACAAACAAACAAACAAAGAAACAAACAAACAAACATAACAGCAGCTTCACTCTATTTATTTATTCAAAATCTCAAAATTAACTTAGTCATTTTTAGTAACATTGAACTGCAAGGAATTTGAGAAACACTTCTTGGTAATTATAAGTCAAAAGCCTATATAATAATTTAGGTATTCTTAGTAGATAAACTTAAAAAAAGAAGATTGTTATATGTCCAATGAGTAAAGTTACGACAGCTGTGATATTTAAAATACGCCCCTTTTAGCAATGTATAGGTCACAGACTTAACACGGTAATGTTGAAGCTTACATTGTTAGTATTAATAATGAAAAAGTGTAAATTGCTGCCGGTTCACAGTCAATATCTGAACAGGGGTATTGAACTTAGTATCAACATACATCAAGTGCTTTAATAAGGAATGATCGACAAAACTAAAGGGAAAGAAATACATTACAAACATAACGTCTTTTGTAATGGATAGGTTGTATCCCTTGGTGATCGGACACACTATATGGCATTCATGATTGAATTTTTGCTTTTCTTTTATTCAAATGTAGAGATAATAACCATGTATGTCAGAAAATCAAGTTTACATTAAATCGAAATAATTATGGAGTTTTCAGAGATAAATATCGAATTGAAGCCTGCTAAATATCTTGAGTTCATACTATTAAAATGTATAATTATGGTGAACATTCTTAAACATACAAATCAGGATAAAGTTCTCTTATTTTGTTTGTTTATTTTTTAGTTTATTAGTTTATTTTTTTTTATTTCTTTAAGTTACTGGAATTGTTGTGTATGACCTCCATTGACATAGGATTATATCAATTATTGTTCAACATAACCATATAAAATCACCAATCTACATTAAGTATAGCCTTCTCTTTAACAATTCCTTTAAACTTCAAGTACATCTTTTGATGACATCAGTTAGGAAACAGTCAGACATATAATTGCATGGTCTCTGTACCGATTATAGTGCACTTGAGCACTAATTAATAATTTTCGAAAAGAACCAATGACTTAATTGATGACACAATAACTATTAAGTATTATGATAAAGCAATTATACTGTCTGTTGATAACATATGGGTATTAAATGATAAATATGATAATTTAAGGTCCAGTGAATTTATGTTCGTCTTGCTGTTTTATTTAAGTTTCTTCATTAAAGGCACCATAAACGCATTCACATTTTGATTTATAGAACTATTGATATTAGTTGACTGATCTTGAACTGTGATTAATACAATTAGTTTTACAGTATAATTAAAGTTTACAAGCTCAAAACGTACTTATTTCTGTTTTATTAAGTTAACTATTGTTATATTATTTCTAAAATAAAAATGTGAAAAAAGAACGAATTTTGCTTTTTTCTCTTGGGTTTATAGTATGTACTCTGTGTGTGCGCGCGTGTTTAAATGTGCGTGCGTGTGTGTATGTTAGCAGGTGCTACCAGTCATATCCTGTCACACCATTCCTCATTCCTGGATAGATTTGTGACGTCATCTGCAGACATTTTAACGTCACCAGACAGTTTGAGCCTCCATTGTCAAAGATCAAAATGCTCTAAAAACAATTTTAAGCCGAATTTCATACTTCCCGTTCTTTTATGGTTGATAATCATATGTTTGTTTAGATCTAATTCATGTAATATTGGCCATAGACATCCCTTCCATAATCTTGACTTGGGTATGGTTTATTGCAATAGCCGTTTCCCTCAACATTATAAAAGACCCCCGCGCGTACTCCTAGCATGTGATAATTGGCAAACCGCACTACATACAAACCTAGCAGATTGACCTAAATGTTGTCTTTGATCATGTACTTTTATAGGCATATTATAGAAAGTGCAGATGTTTAGATAATGGTGTCAGGGCATTTTACATGCTTATCACCTGAAGGAAGAACTGTCGAATATAAAATTATTTGTCAATGCAAACAATGTAATCTTTATGACCTTCATACAAATACTATATCAATATATCTTTACTTATTGCTAAAAAGCAAAAGATAGCTCAGGTTCTTGGCCAATTAGTAACTTTTTGGAAACTATAACAGGACAGCAAAAATGAATAAAAGTAAAAGATTTTCTCAATTATAAATGGCCTTAAAGTCGAGGATACGAAATAATTAATGGAAGAATGACTTGTTATCAAATAGCCGTGCCGCTTTTGCGACTTCAGTCCGTGTAATGTTGACGTGACGTCATTTGCGTTATACATAGAAATTAATAAATCATCAAAATATCATTGCAATATAAGAACTTTTCATATATCTGTGACAATAATAAATAATAAACAATTTTTCTATTAAATATTGATGAAGCCATTTAAGGCCTAATGAAGGCCCATGATTGGAAAATGAAATTATTCTATTCTATTCAAGCAGCGAAAATACGCCATTATTTCCTGCGATACAATATGAGCTATAAACAATGTAATAGCTTCATTTCTAAATTAATTGAATCCGTTGCATTATAATATGGTACCCAAGGGCACCAACCCCAAATTACACCACCCTTGACTTGGTTTGTTTTGTATAAGCGTTCCGGATGTGATAAGCTCTTGTGCCCTTACCAACTTTGGTTCGATGCTCTGTTGGACCCTTTGTCGGTGGTCCTATGCTGCAGGAAGTTGTTGAGGGATGCGTTTATTGATTGTCAACCGTCTTTGTTGATATCTGTTGTCAACTTCATAGTTAATTAAATGTTAAAAACTGGTGAATATATCCAATAATTTGCTAAAATAAAGGTGACAGACACGTCACGATTTGTTGTCTGACGTAATTGACGTGATGACGTCAGTGTACTTGACGTCAAGTGACGTTATTGTCACGGTGATCATTCAATCGTCAGAACCACAGCATAACAGTAAAGAGAACTTTGTCAAATATTTGAAATAAAATGGAATTCGTAGAATTCATCTAAACACGAAAGGTAAGTTAAGCTGATTAATTTGTATAATGGATTTAACTGCTTTTAATTTAAATTTAATTTGAACATCAAAAATACTGCTATTGACCTTACTGCCGTTTGACCAGAACTCGGACCGGGACCCTCGAAATACCGTTCCGCGACTTATGCGGCCGATTTTACATCTTCTTTCCTAATTTATGAACAAATCTGATCCGTGACATACAGCAAACGTGAAATTGTTAGTAATAAAGAATGGCAATACGTTATCAAGTAGATTATGTTTTCATGTAATAAAAAAGAGAGTTTTATCAAACAAAGTAACTAAGCAGGTATGTTTTTACTTCTACAGGAATGGAACTGTTAAGATTAAACAAGAAAGATCGTGAAATGGCTTCCAGCCTTGCTCGCCAACAAAAGTTTGCCGCCGGCCAGTCACAACTTGATTATCACATCAACTGTGTATTACTGCAAGCTTCGTTTAGAAGAAGGCCATCGGTTTCATTTGCACCAGTACAAAAATCTGGTGCTGGAGACTCCGTAAGCAATAAGGTAAAATCATCAACTATTCTAGGCGCGTCAACAGCTTCATCAAAAATGGTATGTTCTAAATTCACGCTTGCGAACAGGAGTTCGAAAGGGTCAGCAATAATGAAAGCAACAGGTTCAACGTGGATGTGTAAATCGTCAAAATATGATGAAAAGGGCTTTCCAAATCACGTGCATGATGTCATTGATACAAGTATTATGAGGTTGGTACCAGATCATGATTTTGAAATTCCTACAGAACCAGAATTTGAAATGCTAATCAAAAGTGCCCATCCAAAACCCGAACCAGATAATACTTTGCCTGGTGATGATGTAAAAGCATGCTTTGAAAATGAAATATATGAAGAAAACGTTAATATTGTTACAGATGTCGACGAAGTTTATGACATTGGTTTATTCTTTGAGGTCTGCAACGAAATAAAGAAGAAAGATGTTGACGAAGTTTATGACATTGGTTTGTTCTTTGATATCTGCAACGAAATAAAGAAGAATGATATCGACGAAGTTTATGACATTGGTTTGTTCTTTGAGAACTGCAACCAAATAAAGAAGAAAGATGTCGACGAAGTTTATGACATTGGTTTTTTCTTTGAGGTCTGCAACGAAATAAAGAAGAATGATATCGACGAAGTTTATGACATTGGTTTGTTCTTTGAGAACTGCAACGAAATAAAGAAGAATGATATCGACGAAGTTTATGACATTGGTTTGTTCCTTGAGAACTGCAACGAAATAAAGAAGAATGATGTCGACGAAGTTTATGACATTGGTTTGTTCCTTGAGAACTGCAACCAAATAAGGAAGAAAGATGTCGACGAAGTTTATGACATTGGTTTGTTCTTTGAGGTCTGCAACGAAATAAAGAAGAATGATATCGACGAAGTTTATGACATTGGTTTGTTCTTTGAGAACTGCAACGAAATAAAGAAGAATGATATCGACGAAGTTTATGACATTGGTTTGTTCCTTGAGAACTGCAACCAAATAAGGAAGAAAGATGTCGACGAAGTTTATGACATTGGTTTGTTCTTTGAGGTCTGCAACGAAATAAAGAAGAATGATATCGACGAAGTTTATGACATTGATTTGTTCTTTGAGAACTGCAACGAAATAAAGAAGAAAGATGTTGACGAAGTTTATGACATTGGTTTGTTCTTTGAGAACTGCAACGAAATAAAAAAGAAAGATGTTGACGAAGTTTATGACATTGGTTTGTTCCTTGAAAACTGCAACGAAATAAAGAAGAAAGATGTCGACGAAGTTTATGATATTGGTTTGTTCTTTGAAGTCTGCAACCAAATAAAGAAGAAAGATATCGATGAAGTTTATGACATTGGTTTGTTCTTTGAAGTCTGCAACCAAATAAAGAATGAAAATATCGATGAAGTTTATGACATTGGTTTGTTCTTTGAAGTCAGCGAGCAGTTAAAGAAGGAAGACATCGACGACGTGTTTAACATTGGCTCCTTTTTTGAAGCCTGTGATATAATTAAAACAAGAGAGTTTGAAAATGATATTGTCTCAGTTTTGGACGCAAGGAACGGCGACGTCCACGGAAATATTCAAGTGGACAGCACCATGCCCTTACCTCGTCTCGATGACAACATGGATTTTGCTGAGGATATGTTCGGAATTCTAGGAGTGTTTTGTAGGAGTGGATTACATTTCCTGTAAGTATTTGTAATAGAAAATGTTTCAATTTTTCAGAAAACATTTAATCACTGTATGTGCAGAATGATCAAAGAATTGCACGCCAAAATTATTGCTTCTGTACATTGTAAAAATTGCCAAAGCATAGATCTTCTAACGAATGAATAATTATTTCAAACAATCCATGTGAAATACAAACGAACACGTTGAAAGTAACCATATTTTTGTCGGAAAAGTAGAAAAAGGCGTTATTAAAGTAGCAAATACATGTAGTAGACAAACGAATCGGTTTTAGTATATATTCAATGTAAATTTCATTGTATATATTATGATTTCCTTTTTGCATATAACTTTGCATGTTTTATGGGCCTTTCCGTTTATTTTCAGGAGCAGCGGAGTTCAAGAAGTCATTGTTTAACTCCAGCACACTATTGTGTTATAAACATTTTTATTGTTATTTGTTATGAAAATCACATTAAAAAGGAATACGATTATTTTTGTTTAACAAAATACATGTAATCTTTGTTTTTTTTCATTGCCCGTAGCTCTTGCACGGCTTAATTTTCAATGAAAGCTTGACAAAACCAGTCATCATTTTATGGATAATAGTGAAAACCATGATTAGAAAGCACATATGTACCGGCTTATCTTGATCTGCACTGGTTGCATTTGTATATTCAATTGTCGCTATCAGGTTAAGGATCCGAGAAACAGTGCCCGTTATTTGCAGCTACAATTTCAATCACTTAGCACAATAAGTTAACCAAAACTTACTGTACCACATGGACGTGAGTAGGCATACGCAGCAAGCAGTGCCTCTCATACCATTTCATGTACTAAAGTTTATTAAATTAAACTGGTCCACATTTTGGGGTTCAAAGCCTTAAGTATCATATCCGACAATAAACTAAGAAAGAATTATATGTGGGTGTGATTTGTGGTAGGTGTGATATACATGATCCGATGAATGGAGCAGATAATAATTTGAGCCGCGCCATGATAAAACCAACATAATGCGTTTGCGACCAGCATGGATCCAGACCAGCCTGCGCATCCGCGGAGTCTGATCAGGATCAATGCTGTTCGCTATATATTTCTCTACTTGTTACAGTGTTTGTAAGTGAACATCATGGGTCCTGATCAGACTGCACGGATGCGCAGGCTGGTCTGGATTCATGCTGGTCGCAAATGCACTATGTTGCTTTTGTCATGTCGCGGCTCATTTGTTGTGAAACAAAATATTATTTTTCAACTTATAAATATCCTTACTAAATAACTTGGTCAACATGTTTGCTTATCATTATTTGAAATACTTCTGGAAAATGTGCCCATTGTATACTTTAAAGATCTAAGACTGTAAATCACTGTTTTTACAAGGCAATAGTAAGTAAAAAACCTGGAATATAATTTGCACTTAAAAGATTGAATGTTGTAAGATATCTTTATCATATATAAAAATAAAACACGAGTTAGACTACACTTAAACTTATTGCCTTTCTATGTTGGCTGATTTGGTACGCTTTTGTGCGTCGCGATGGCTCTAGCGACAACATGACAAAGCGCCAAACGGCGCGTTGTCGCGCTGTCGTCTTGTTGTTCTGTCTCTAGCGCGGCACGCCAAACGGCGCGTTGTCATGCGGCGTGTTGTCGCGATGGCATATTGTCGCTCGGTTCAAATTGAAGGATTGGCTTATAAGCCAAGCGACAGGGCGACATCGCGACAACGCGCCGCACGACAACGCGCCATTTGGCGTATCGCGCTAGAGACAGGACGACAGCGCGACAACACGCCGTTTGGTGCTTTGGTGTGGTGTCGCTAGCTACAGGACGACAAGACATAAGTCCGACAACGCGCCGTTTGGCGCTTTGTCGTGTTGTCGCTAGCGTCAACTAGACGCACAAAAGCGTACCAAATCAGGCACCATACCTTTCTTCATTTTACAATGAACATGCTGAACACGTTTTAAGATGCATTACTAAGATATACTGGCTTCTATTAAATTCCATTGCCCCTATTGTTTCTGATAATGTGAACAAGCAAAAACATTGTGCCTATGCCATGGACCTATCCTCTCCACATGTGCACAATATTTAAAATATTTCTTTTTCAAATTAGCACACACCACATTTTTAACTATGTTTTTTTGTAGACCTGTGTGAGAAAAAAGTATTGTCGCACATAAAATAGAGAATTTTGTACGAGTTTTGAACGGGCTTAAATTTAATTATCACACAACCGTGCCGATTTTGCGACTCCGTAAAAATGGTTTTGCACGGCCGTGCATATATTTTGACGTGACGTCATTAGCGATATACAAACATAATGTAAAGACGCGCTAATTGTTAGCGTTATACTATAGGCGCGTCAATGAAAAGTGACTATGTTTTCACTCTAAACGGTCTTTATTTTTGGTATGTGATAAATAGAATATTAAATTAAATTAGTGTAAGTTCATTACTGAATTTATTGATCTCGTTGAATAAAAAAATATTATGCTCGCATAATATAATTTTATTTAATTCAGTATTAAACTTACACTCACTCACTCAATATCCTGTATTTATGACCCCCATGAAAATTGACCCATTGACCTATGGATAATTTGCCACTATGGATCAGTTTTCAATAATGTCCCTATCAACATTGCAACATTAGTTTTTTGTATCAATGAGGTATTGTGTCTGATTTACGACTTATTATGGAACGCCATAACTGCTTTTTATACACTTTCTTTAGTGGTGATGTCATATTGATGAATTAGCATGTCGTTTTGACAGATGATGCTGTGGTTTTGATTAATGGTTCTGTTATTTTGGTAAGTGGTATCGTTTTAATAGATGGTGGTCTTTGATAAACTGGCGCTTTAAAACTGATTTCTTTTTAACGCATTGATTTTGACGGTAATGTTTTTCATCTTGCCTCTTTTAATTTAGAAATTAATAAAATAAAGCCATTAACAAATCGTGCATTCATGTCCATATACTTCTAGCTCCAGCTAGTCTCTTTAATAGAATATACAATATAAATACAGTACAACCTTTTGAAAGACAAATGAGCCGCGTCACGACAAAACCAACATAATGTGTTTGCGACCACCATGGATCCAGACCAGCCTGCGCATCCGCGCTTTCTGATCAGGATCCATGCTGTTCGCTTACAAACCCTATAGAAGTAGAGAAACTGATAGCTGGTCGCAAACGCATTATGTTGGTTTTGTCATGGCGCGGCTAAAATATTTTGGTTTTTCTGAGATGTGTGGCTCTTGAGAGGTTGAATTAACTGTAAAATTTAACTTCTGGAAACTTGAAACAGTTGTTTTAAAGAGGCTGATGCTCTTTATAATACATGTACTGCACGTTTATAACGTCGCTTTTCTTTGGATAATCGTGACGTTTATAAAGTCTCTTATAATACTGCACGTTTGTAACGTCGCTTTTCATTGGATAACCGTGACGTTTATATAGATTTATATACACGGCTGCTGTCGATATCTTACTTTTTCTCCACAAAATGATGCTTGCTGTATTATAAATTCGTTATAAAGATTGTTGACAGGTTATATGGCCGTATATAAACGGCTGTTTGCAATATAACCCTCGCCTAACGGCTCGGGTTATATTTACAAATAGCCGTTTATATAGGGCCATATAACCTGTCAACGATCTTTATAACTAATAATATAAACGACTGCTGTCGATTTATGAAGAATTCTCGATTTATTTCTCAAAAAATGATGTATAATATATTCGTTAAAAATATTTCTGACAGGTTATAGGGCCGGGCCGTATATAAACGGTTGTTTGCAATACAAAAATGTAAAAAGTAGAATTTAAAGCAAAACTTGCTAACCAATTTAGATGCGTTATATAGGATTGATAACATATAGCTGCTCAGAAAGATAATAATTTTACATTCGTTATGTATGTTAAAGCAGCATGCATCGTTCATGCTATTTTTCATGAAAAATTTAAAATTGTATTTAAAAGTAAGATATTGTTAATTAAACAAAAATAACAAACAGATTGCAAACAGCACTTAAATCGAAATAAATTACCAAAAAGAGTCAAAATAAACAAAAATAGCCCTTACTGCGTTAGTAACATAGTAGAAATATGATGATAAATACTGCAAAATCAGTCCTTAATCGCAAGTGACATGTGAATTATTACCTAAATATTAAATATTTCTACTTTTCTTAGAATTGTAGTATATTTTCTCAAGTTTAATTTTCTTGAAATATTTTGGCTCATCTTGAGGCATGCAGCTTTAAGATATGAATGAAAATATTAATATTTTATAAATGAATATTACGTGCTTTTAAATTAAAAATTCAAGCGTAACTACGGGTATAAAAGTATGTTTAGACTTATTGCCATATAATGCAATGTACGAGTATATAACAAAAAATAAACACTTTTACATTAGTTAGGTACTGTTTGTGTTCTTAAATCCACGAAAATGCAGTGTATCTAGGAAAGCTTATCAACGGAATTATTCCAGCAGATTATAATATACAAAAATATAATGTTAATGTAACATGGCTGATTTACTCGTGTTGTTGTTAAGTCATAATATGCTTGTACAGAACTTATAGGTTGCCTTAACCTTCTTTTATTCCACATCATATTTTTTCACCTTCAAACTATATAAGCGAGGTCACTAGAGTAAAGAACTGTTGGTTAAGTGACTAGATTTTCATCATTATATCTCTAAAAATTATAATGGTCATTTAAAAAAAGAAAGAAAGCTAGTTGTGTCCTTTTAAGAAAACCAGCATGGTAATTGTAATATTTGTTTTAAAAATATCATTTTCTGCTTATAGCAACCGTTTATTTTATGTATATGTTCTTCAACGATCCTCTATGTACAAACAAAATCACTGGGGTTGAGGTCACTAAAATATTTTCCAGCCAGTTTCATTGGTGTTGCACATCTCATGGCGTTGGGGTATTGGATATGGTAAGTGGCATTGTCCACAGCCTCTCTCAACCATCTCAAATGACAGTCACATTTCCACGGGTTCAATCCTCCCAGATACACAGTTGTACCTGCCGGGACGTTGTTTAGCACTTCTGGTTGCAGACGTTCAAGACGATTGTTAATAATGCGTAAGAATCTCAAAGATTTTAAAGATATAAATGCTTCCGGCTCAATATTTTGTATAACGTTACCAGTGATATCCATTTCTTGGAGTGAATGTAATCCGGTGAAAGTATTGTTGGTTATTTGGACAAGTTTATTATTGGTTAGATCGATTGTAACTAAGCTAGCCATAGCTTGAAACGTAAAATCTTCTATCGCAGCAATCTGAAATCAAATTTACAAATTCTTGAAAAAAAAATCATTGACCAACACTATCGTTAAATACTTAATAAGCAGTCACACATTTTCTGAAAAGAAAATTAACGTTTTGTTGACGCTATTTTAGGGACTATAGACAGAAAGATTAAACATGCAATTATTTTAACAAAAATGTAAAATGTTATGGTATTCTTGTGTTAAAATTCGTGTGCAAATGGGCTTCTTTATAAAACTGTAACGGTCAGAGGGTGTTATCAATTTATATTTAAATAGACAAAGAAACAAATTATTTTTACGTTCTACTTGTAAAACGTGTATCAGTGTTTAACAAAATGCATAAAATACACAGTAGATTTTTGTGCTTCAAAAATGATTTGAAAGTAAAAAAACAAACATTATAGACCACCTGAAACAGCAAAATTGAAACTGCTGCAGGTTTGGTTTCATGAAAGACAGTGGTTAATGTAATCTTCGGTCCACTCGGGGGCTCGGAATTCAACAATTAAAAATGAACATGGTTTTCAGTTAATAATTTTGATGTTACATTGTTGTATATAAATCACCTGATTGTCGTCGATTATCAGTTCACGCAATGACATGAATGGACTGAACGCTTCTTTCTCCAGATTCTTGATATTGTTGTCTCGGATATTCAACTTGGTAACCCCGGTTAGACCAGAAAACGAATAATTTGACACTGTGTTGATTTCGTTATGGCTTAAATCGACTTCTTTAGCCTTCAATAGACCATCAAATGCGTAATCTTGAATTGTTTTGATCTGGAAAAATAAATAAAAGATAAATAATGCTACCGGAAAAAAATATTCCATTTTTTAAATTATTTTTGATTTGAAATTTAGTTGTTGAATAAAGAGAAAATAATTTATCACATACCCATGCCGATTTTGCCACTTGGCATTGCACGACCGTGACGTCATTTACGTTATGCAACAGTCTTTATTTTGGGTATGTGATAAATAGAATATTATATTCGCTAAGTCCATGAAGTTGGCACAGAGATCGACATTAAACATTCAGCTCGACATTCGACTTATCACTGTTGAGCTGGTATGGGAAACTGGCAAGACATTCAGCAGAACATTCAGCTCGACATTCGATTTATCACTGATGAGCTGGAATGTGAAGCTAGCTAGACATTCAGCAGAACATTCAGCTCAACATTCGTTTCTTATATTCTTTTTGAATGTCGAGCTGGGATGTGAAGCTGGCTAGACATTCAGCACAACATTCAGCTCGACATTTGTTTTTTGTCAATTTTTGAATGTCGAGCTGGAATGTGAAGCTGGCTAGACATTCAGCACAACATTCAGCTCGACATTCGTTTTTAGTCTATTTTTGAATGTCGAGCTGGGATGTGAAGCTGGCTAGACATTCAGCACAACATTCAGCTCGACATTCATTTTTTTTCTATTTTTGAATGTTGAGCTGGGATGTGAAGCTGGCTAGACATTCAGCACAACATTCAGCTCGACATTCGTTTTTAGTCTATTTTTGAATGTCGAGCTGGGATGTGAAGCTGGCTAGACATTCAGCACAACATTCACCTCGACATTCGTTTTTTTTCTATTTTTGAATGTTGAACTGGGATGTGAAGCTGGCTAGACATTCAGCACAACATTCAGCTCGACATTCGTTTTTAGTCTATTTTTGAATGTCGAGCTGGGATGTGAAGCTGGCTAGACATTCAGCACAACATTCAGCTTGACATTCATTTTTTTTCGATTTTTGAATGTTGATCTGGGATGTGAAGCTGGCTAGACATTCAGCACAACATTCAGCTCGACATTCGATTTCAGTCTATTTTTGAATGTCGAGCTGGGATGTGAAGCTAGCTAGACATTCAGCACAACATTCAGCTCGACATTCATTCTTTTTCTATTTTTGAATGTTGAGCTGGGATGTGAAGCTGGCTAGACATTCAGCTTAACATTCAGCTCGACATTCGTTTTTTTTTCGATTTTGAATGTTGAGCTGGGATGTGAAGCTGGCTAGACATTCAGCACAACATTCAGCTCGACATTTGTTTTTGTCAAATTTTGAATGTCGAGCTGGAATGTGAAGCTGGCTAGACATTCAGCACAACATTCAGCTCGACATTCGTTTTTTGTCTATATTTGAATGTCGAGCTGGGATGTGAAGCTGGCTAGACATTCAGCACAACATTCAGCTCAACATTCATTTTTTTCTATTTTTGAATGTTGATCTGGGATGTAAAGCTGGCTAGACATTCAGCACAACATTCAGCTCGACATTCGTTTTTAGTCTATTTTTGAATGTCGAGCTGGGATGTGAAGCTGGCTAGACATTCAGCACAACATTCAGCTCGACATTTATTCTTTTGCTATTTTTGAATGTTGAGCTGGGATGTGAAGCTGGCTAGACATTCAGCACATCATTCAGCTCGACATTCGTTTTTAGTCTATTTTTGAATGTCGAGCTGGGATGTGAAGCTGGCTAGACATTCAGCACAACATTCAGCTCGACATTCGTTTTTTTTTCTATTTTTGAATGTTGAGCTGGGATGTGAAGCTGGCTAGACATTCAGCACAACATTCAGCTCGACATTCGTTTTTAGTCTATTTTTGAATGTCGAGCTGGGATGTGAAGCTGGCTAGACATTCAGCACAACATTCAGCTCGACATTCGTTTTTTTTTCTATTTTTGAATGTTGATCTGGGATGTGAAGCTGGCTAGACATTCAGCACAACATTCAGCTCGACATTCGATTTTAGTCTATTTTTGAATGTCGAGCTGGGATGTGAAGCTGGCTAGACATTCAGCACAACATTCAGCTCGACATTCATTCTTTTTCTATTTTTGAAGGTTGAGCTGGGATGTGAAGCTGGCTAGACATTCAGCTTAACATTCAGCTCGACATTCGTTTTTTTTTATTTTGAATGTTGAGCTGGGATGTGAAGCTGGCTAGACATTCAGCACAACATTCAGCTCGACATTCGTTTTTAGTCTATTTTTGAATGTTGAGCTGGGATGTGAAGCTGGCTAGACATTCAGCACAACATTCAAAATAGAAAAAAACGAATGTCGAGCTGAATGTTGTGCTGAATGTCTAGCCAGCTTCACATCCCAGCTCAACATTCAAAATAGAAAAAAATAGAATGTCGAGCTGAATGTTGTGCTGAATGTCTAGCCAGCTTCACATCCCAGCTCAACATTCAAAAATAAAAGAAATACGAATGTCGAGCTGAATGTTTTGCTGAATGTCTAGCCAGCTTCACATCCCAGCTCGACATTCAATAATAGACTAAAAACGAATGTCGAGCTGAATGTTGTGCTGAATGTCTAGCCAGCTTCACATCCCAGCTCAACATTCAAATATAGAAAAAAAACGAATGTCGAGCTGAATGTTGTGCTGAATGTCTAGCCAGCTTCACATCCCAGCTCAACATTCAAAATAGAAAAAAACGAATGTCGAGCTGAATGTTGTGCTAAATGTCTAGCCAGCTTCACATCCCAGCTCGACATTCAAAAATAGAAAGAAAAAAAAGAATTTCGAGCTGAATGTTGTGCTGAATGTCTAGCCAGCTTCACATCCCAGCTCGACATTCAAAAATAGACTTAAAACGAATGTCGAGCTGAAAGTTGTGCTGAATGTCTAGCCAGCTTCACATTCAAGCTCGACATTCAAAAATTGACAAAAAACAAATGTCGAGCTGAATGTTGTGCTGAATGTCTAGCCAGCTTCACATCCCAGCTCAACATTCAAAATCGAAAAAAACGAATGTCGAGCTGAATATTGTGCTGAATGTTTAGCCAGCTTCACATCCCAGCTCAACATTCAAAATAGAAAAAAACGAATGTCGAGCTTAATGTTGTGCTGAATGTCTAGCCAGCTTCACATCCCAGCTCAACATTCAAAAATAGAAAAAAAACGAATGTCGAGCTGAATGTTGTGCTGAATGTCTAGCCAGCTTCACATCCCAACTCGACATTCAAAAATAGACTAAAAACGAGTGTCGAGCTGAATGTTGTGCTGAATGTCTAGCCAGCTTCACATCCCAGCTGGACATTCAAAAATAGAAAAAGAATGAATGTCGAGCTGAATGTTGTGCTGAATGTCTAGCCAGCTTCACATCCCAGCTGGACATTCAGAAATAGACTAAAAACGAATGTCGAGCTGAATGTTGTGCTGAATGTCTAACCAGCTTCACATTCCAGCTCGACATTCAAAAATTGACAAAAAACAAATGTCGAGCTGAATGTTGTGCTGAATGTCTAGCCAGCTTCACATACCAGCTCAACATTCAAAATCGAAAAAAAACGAATGTCGAGCTAAATGTTGTTCTGAATGTCTAGCCAGCTTCACATCCCAGCTCAACATTCAAATTAGAAAAAAAAAAACGAATGTCGAGCTGAATGTTGTGCTATATGTCTAGCCAGCTTCACATCCCAGATCAACATTCAAAAATAGAAAAAAACGAATGTCGAGCTGAATGTTGTGCTGAATGTCTAGCCAGCTTCACATCCCAGCTCGACATTCAAAAATAGACTAAAAACGAATGTCGAGCTGAATGTTGTGCTGAATGTCTAGCCAGCTTCACATCCCAGCTCAACATTCAAAAATAGAAAAAGAATGAATGTCGAGCTGAATGTTGTGCTGAATGTCTAGCCAGCTTCACATCCCAGCTCGACATTCAAAAATAGACTAAAAACGAATGTCGAGCTGAATGTTGTGCTGAATGTCTAGCCAGCTTCACATTCCAGCTCGACATTCAAAAATTGACAAAAAACAAATGTCGAGCTGAATGTTGTGCTGAATGTCTAGCCAGCTTCACATCCCAGCTCAACATTCAAAATAGAAAAAAAAACGAATGTCGAGCTGAATGTTGTGCTGAATGTCTAGCCAGCTTCACATCCCAGCTCAACATTCAAAATAGAAAAAAACGAATGTCGAGCTTAAAGTGTGCTGAATTTCTAGCCAGCTTCACTCTCAGCTCAACATACAAAATATAAAAAAACGAATGTCGAGCTAAATGTTGTGCTGAATGTCTAGCCAGCTTCACATCCCAGCTCAACATTCAAATAAGAAAAAAAAAACGAATGTCGAGCTGAATGTTGTGCTGAATGTCTAGCCAGCTTCACATCCCTGCTCAACATTCAAAAATAGAAAAAGAATGAATTTCGAGCTGAATGTTGTGCTGAATGTCTAGCCAGCTCCACATCCCAGCTCGACTTTCAAAAATAGACTAAAAACGAATGTCGAGCTGAATGTTGTGCTTAATGTCTAGCCAGTTTCACATCCCTTCTCAACATTCAAAAATAGAAAAAGAATGAATGTCGAGCTGAATGTTGTGCTGAATGTCTAGCCAGCTTCACATCACAGCTCGACATTCAAAAATAGACTAAAAACGAATGTCGAGCTGAATGTTGTGCTGAATGTCTAGCCAGCTTCACATTCCAGCTCGACATTCAAAAATTGACAAAAAACAAATGTCGAGCTGAATGTTGTGCTGAATGTCTAGCCAGCTTCACATCCCAGCTCAACATTCAAAAATAGAAAAAGAATGAATGTCGAGTTGAATGTTGTGCTGAATGTCTAGCAAGCTTCGCATCCAAGCTCGACATTCAAAAAGAATGTAAGAAACGAATGTCGAGCTGAATGTTCTGCTGAATGTCTAGCTAGCTTCACATCCCAGCTCATCAGTGATAAATCGAATGTCGAGCTGAATGTTCTGCTGAATGTCTTGCCAGTTTCCCATACCAGCTCAACAGTGATAAATCGAATGTCGAGCTGAATGTTTAATGTCGATCTCTGTGCCAACTTCATGGACTTATATTCGCTTAGGTTTATAATTGACTTTACTGAACTTGTTGAATAAATTAATATTCTGCTCGCCAGAGGTTCGCATAATGTAATTTTATTCAACTCGTTCAATAAATTCAGTATTAAAATTTCACTCATTCAATGTCCTCTGTATATCTAATATCTAAATTTCTAAAAGTGAAGTTAGGTTACATGCAAAAGTAATAACAGTTTAGTACCTACATTATTTTGTTGTAAACCTATCGTTGTTAGATTTGGCGTGAACTTAAATGCCCATGCTTGAAGTGTAGTGATAGAATTGTTGTAGTAATCAACATCAGTCAACGAGTCCGGTAAGTTGGAAACAACATGAGTTAATTTATTTGAGTTAAGAGTTACACTCTGGAGGACACGGTTTTCTCGAAACATGTGTGGCGAAAAGCTGTCATCAACTAGATTGTTGTCATGTAAATCAAGAGAAATCAAAGCAGGCAAATCGTCAAAGGCTCCTGATTCTATATGTACCAACTGGCAATTCCATAGTGTAATCATTTTTAATTTTTGGTAATTTTGAAAACTTCCCGATCTTAGTGTTTTTAATGAGGTGTTAACCAGGCTCAATTCAATTATATAACTTGGCAGGAGCTGTGGTACAGAAGACAATGGACTATCAACAATATTGATTTGAAATAGGTTTTGTAGCTGCAGAGTGGTGAGATTATAAAATTCTTCGTCATTTAAAGCTTCTCGAAAAGTGAACATCTGGAGATCTGTTACATTGATCAGTTGGTCAACATGGACAGAGGTAAGGTCACACAAACGTAAATCAAGGATCCGTGTATTTGATGGTATTCCAGACGGTACTGATGTGAGTCCATGACAATCCACTTCTTGCAAATTGAAGATTGTGACGCACTCGCAAGAGGCTGGGCACGCATTGTCGTTGGCGTTGAATAGAAAGAACGCATTCGTAGTACACAAAATTAGTGTAAACCAGAAAAATAAGTATGTTACAAACATTGTTCTGAAATATAGAACAGAAATCATGTATGAAATACAACATGTGTGCAATGCTTGTCTGGTGATTATTCTTTTTAATTGAATGTAATAATTGTAATTGTATCATAGTTTGGGGACTTTTCTGGTGAAAGTTTCAGAGTTAAATCGTATGAGTTACCCGCACTCCAGAGCATGCCTATTGATTGGCTCATTTTACTGGGGTTTACTTAATTAATTAATTAATATATTTAAATGCTCGTTCTTTGTTTACTTTTTTGTGGGATTTCATGTTGTGATAACAGGGAACGTGTTTTTATGTTTGAATATGATACATAAGAGAAAGAATATCAAAACACTTGCAATGGGATATTTACTCGGGGGCTATGCCCCCTCGTACAAAACAGATGCCCCCGTGTTTCGATGTTCTTTCTATTACTCAAAATACCGCTATTTACTCAAAAACTGTATACAGATATCAGAACAGGTAAATTAAAAACAATTATAAAGATAAGGTATTGCTGATATGTGAAATCACTGCTTATTACTATCAGATTGATATTATGAATGTTCTTATATGTTATATTATTTAACAGATTATTGTATTGATAAAGTTCTATAGATACATTAAGTCAAGACTAGCATAAGTTAATGAATCGCCAAAGTATAACGAGGTGTTTCAAGAGAAAATAAAGCTTACTTTGTTAAATGGTCCAATCTGAAGAAAAATCACAAAAAGTGTGCCAAATTGAAGCAAATTACATGAATGTCAATGTCTTAAAATACAACCACATACCACTGTCTCCAGGTAATGCCGTCATTTACCACATGTACATGTAATTTATAAAATCAGGGTTCACTGTCCTTTGGCTTGGCTCTTATCTGTATAACATTTTACTACATGTAGTATTTACAGTTCCCTTTTAAACAGATAGGACGGTCAAGTGTATTACTACGCGATATATGCACCGCATCAAAAGGAATACTTACACATCATATGGCGTCAGATATGACGTCAATAAACCAAATGGTGTCAGTACAATTCTTCTACGCTCAGTGAAAAAAAAAAAAAAAAAAAAAAAACAAGAATAAAGATCAACAAGGTGAAGGTAACATTCACAGGACGCAGCCCCCTGACACACCCAAGTAGGGCACCCAGAAGGCACCAAACAAAAACCCGGAGTCGACACAAGTCAGCAATCAGCATATTTTTTTTTGATTCTAGATCTATATCAGTTTTGTCTTTTATTGAAATGTTAGATTGGAAATACCGTAAATATTATTGTTTCTTGATTAATAGTTGTTAAAGATAAAAATTTTATACATCTGTAACATAATTAGTGGGATGATGCAATTGCCCGCTTAAATATTCAATGCTAAAGGTACCAAGGTTAGCGCACAAAAAAGAACCGGCCTAACTGGTTCGGTAAGCTATATTACATCACATTTTATGTAGTAACTTTATATATAAAAAGAACAAATCGCTGGTACCAAAAACGACCATGCCACGCGGAAAACTCACGGACACACCAAATTTGATGCACTTTATATACAGAAAGAACAAATCGCTGGTACAAAAACAAACAAAAAAAAACAAAAAAAAAACAAAAAAACGACCATGCCTAGCGGAAATCCCCCGGACATAAATGTTTGGGTTAGGCGACTTATATTGTGCCAAACTGATACAAAAAATGAATTTTCAAAGGATTCAGACAAATGGTGTATTTACGGTTGACTCGAGAAAATTGTGTCTTTTACGAAAATTGATACACTTTATAAACAGAACGAATAAATCGCCGGTACAAAAAAACAACAAAAAAACGGCCATGCCACCCGAAATTTCGCCGACTTATTGCTTGCGTTAGGGCATTAGGCCTTATATATTGCATAGAAGAGCGTCCAAACCGATACAAAAAAGAATCTGCAAAGTTTTCAGTCAAATGATCACGGTTGACTCGAGATATATATATATATATATATATATATATATATATATATATATATATATATATATTTATATTTATATATATATATATATATAGAAAGAACAAATCTCCGGTAAAAAAACAACCATGCCACGCGAAAATCTCGCTGACATATTGCTTTTGTTAGGGCATTGGGACTTATATTGTGCAAAGAAGACCACCCAACCTGATACAAAAACGAATCTGCAAAGGAATTTGAGAAATGGTGTTTTCAGGGTTTGATCGAGAAAATGGTGTCTTTAACGAAAATTGATAAATAATTTTCTGTAATAACAGAGAGTGAACAATTTGAGATTATTCATACAAGCTATTAGCCTAGAGCTACAATTGGAGTATATATCTCGAAAATTGTTTCCAGTCCCGTCAAAAAACCTCAACGAGGTCCCTTCAAGTAGAAAAATTCCTCATCTAAAACCATGTTCTTGTTGCTGAAAATTACCCATTTGCTGTTATGTTTGACAATTGTAGAGTTTAGTGTGATTTACACCTTGTAAATAAAATGTGGATGCATGTCTTCATGAAATGTATAAAATAAAGAAAATCGGAATCCCTTAAGAACGCCAAAAAAAGATACTGCACAATTTTCTGAGCGGATCAAATTGAAGAATGGCAAGAAAGCGTCAGTTTCTGTTCTTATACGTTTTGTCCATATATCACTATGACTTGCAAAATTCATTGGCATAGTGTTTCCTTGTAATGCACGAACTCTTGAGTGTAACAAAACCTCTTTGTATGTCGTAAACGTGAAAAAAGACGAATATTCATTTGGACAAATGAGCCGCGTCATGACAAAACCAACATAGTGCGTTTGCGACCAGCATGGATCCAGACCAGCCTGCCCATCCGAACTCTGCGGATGCGCAGGCTGGACTGGATTCATGCTGGTCGCAAACTCATTATGTTGGTTTTGTCGTGACGCGGCTCAAATAAGTCTTTATATGATCTGTGATGTCATAACGTAACTTGATTATTATACTCTTTTATAATATTGTAAAAAAATCACATTGTATCCAGTTTCGTGACGAGCTCTTCACCAGGGGAAACTGAGGACGTTATTCTGTAACTGTATCACGACTGTCAATCTTATTTCTAAGAGATACACTTATGAGTTTTGTATTTTATCATTTAAATATTTATTCTTTGCAAATCATTTATGTGAATGTAGTATTTATATAATAGGTACTTCCTTTTGTTTGTGCTTAATGTATTGGCCTCAGACAACAATTTTGGTTGCTATTGATCATTTTGGTTTAACCCACATGTGTTAAAATAGTATTGTTCTTTTGTAATGTCTGTTGTCATGTAATTGTGACCATTGACCAATTAAAAGGATTTTGTTGTTGTTGTTGATGATAAAAATGAAGTATTGGCCCTTCTCATATAATATTTTGATTATATTTTATTTTTTAGATCGGATTTTTTTTTTATTTCTGTAGGACAAAGGGAGCTTATTTGTTTCAACTGTTAGATCCTTATAACAAGACAATCCACGTATTTATGCATTTTACAATAGTAAATAACTTGTGATATTGTAAATACATGTCTCTATTTTGTTCTTGATTTTGCTTCCTTCTTTTTTCAACCAATAAATTCACAAAAGTAAAAAAGTACTGCATTTGCTTTGATTACTTGTTTTTAAAATAATTTTTATACTTTAAAATAATTAAAGAAATAAGGCAATGATGTTAACTTATTGAACGATGCATACAGACAGATGTTAACTGTAAATATAGATATCTATCGGTTTTTGAGGCAACAATCTTCCCGCCTCCGTAGTTAGAACATTTTGTCTATAATTGACTGACATCATACCTTAGGTAAAAAATTGTTAAAGAAAACAACAACAAATCGAAAGCAATGTAGAATCTTCAGTTCGGATAAATATCACAAAAGGTAATGTAGATGTTTTGTTTATTTTAATGTAAAGAATTGTTATACGTATTTTGCTGGGTGTTTTATATTAAAAATACTATGGCAATAATCAGAATTTGTAATTTTAATCATGATCGTATTATTGTGTTTTATAAGTAGATTTAGTGTAATTACATATGCACTGTTACTAATTATATCATAACTTGTAACATCTCAAGAATGTAATTAGAATTTTTAAGATGAATCAGTTGCGTTAAATCTTCGTATATTTTGTTTAAACGCATGCGAATAGTACAGTATGCAGGAGATGCATCTTTACATATAGAAATAGTTGACGGCTGAAACAGTCATTTAGGTAAAAATATATGTTTTTTTTTATATTATTGAAGAAAAAATAAGAGTATAAAAAGTTAAAATGTGATTATTGGTATTTACTAAGGAAAGAAAAAAATCAGGTTATGCTAAAGAATAAATCGTTTTTTTATCATGAAATATTAGCTTTTTACATTGAAAGTTTTTGTTTTGCATCATTTCGTCTCACAGATTGTACATTTCTTAGTATAGTACTTGATGTTTCTTAACGAGTACACAGCTGTTTAATCTATATTGGACGAGGCCGTGGCCGAGTCTAATAGTTTTGCAGCTGTGTCCAATAAAATCAACATGGTAATGAACTTTTTATTGCACACCATCATTCTTAAAGAGAAAGCACACACACGCACACACACGCACAATCAACAGTGTTTGTCTTTAAAAAAAAGAAAAAAAAAGAAGATGATATAAAGATACCGTGATTTCGAGTGCAATATGGATGTGATCTTGATTTTTGGATTCAAAGAATGAGAAAGAGTCTAGATGGAGTTTAGCGATTGATACGGATTTCTTTTAATAAATTCTAAAAGGGGTAAATCCTATAATGATTTATATTGGAACATCAGAACAGAACAGAACAGAAATTTTATTTCGTAACGTATACAATACAGTATCTTGTTACATTACATATATCAAATATTATAAATAGATAGACACATGATATAATTCAAAGATTTACAGTATATTGGAGAATGAACATATATTGCTGCGAAAAAAAATGGATTTGTATAAAATAAATGTATATCAGAATAATCTCATTTTTAATATCAGAATAATCTCATTTTAATATAAAAATTACTAGCGAAATCTAAACGTTTACAATATCTATGACAATAACATTACATTTATGTATAACCTAAGCTTATCAACATTTCTTTTCTTTTACTATTTGCAAAATAAATAAATTTACATAAATTTAATAATATAGACTTTTCACATGACTGAAGTAATTCTATGAATTTAGACATGCTGGTTTTTTTTTTATAATAGTATCTTTTAATGAATTTAGTGCGTATTTCCTGGTACAAATTACAAACAAGTATAAAATGAAATTCGTCTTCAATATCTTGTGTATTACAAAGTTGACATATGCGCTCATGTCTTTCAAGTCTGTTTCTACCATATCTACCAGATTCTATTCTTAAATTATGCGCAGATATTCTGAGACGGGTTAATTGTTGTCTTGATTTCATACACTTAATTTTATCTAAGTAGCATTCCATAGAAAAATTATCCTTGATATATCTATACAATGTATTTAAAACGTTATTATTAACAATATCTGAAAACCATTTTTGTTTAAAAAACATCAATGACTCTTTGTTTAAAAATATTAACAAATTCTTTTGGATTATAAAGTTCAGGACAATTCCACACCTCAGAGAAACCAAATTCATCTAAAATTCCTTTTACTTTATATGCCCAGTTTTTTACTCCTTTTTTTACACTGATTTAATGTATTTATATACACACATTTAACAATGATATTGCTTGAATGTATCACTTTAAACCAATATTTTATTATGTGAACATATCTATTAACATAAAGTGGGTATCTTCCTAGCTCACCATAAATTGCTGCATTACAGGAG